CGTTAACAGTAGCAATAGCTAAGTCTACTTGTGCTGGAGGAAAATGATGATAAAGCTGCAAATCGTCTGCATAGAGGTGAAAATTGGAAGAAATAACTGTTGTGACTGAGTTAATAAAAATAGAAAAAAGTAAAGGAGAGAGAACGCCACCCTGAGGCACACCCGCGCTTAGTTCACAAGAGTTAGAGAATGAATTTTCTATGCGAATGCGCTGCGAGCGGCCCCGAAGATAGGAGTCAAACCAATTTATAGAGGAAGAGGAAATGTTAATTGAATGAAGGATGCCGAGTAAAATATCAAAATCAACAGAAGAAAAACTACTGAAGTCAAGCAACACCAGTAAAGTAAGTTTATTTGTCTCCATAGCCCATCGAATATCGTCTATAACTTTGAGGAGAGCAGTAACAGTACTGTGACTGGGCCGAAAACCGGATTGGAAAGAACTTAAAAGCGAATTAGAACATAGAAAAGTGGATAGTTGAGTATGGACAATGTGCTCAAGAACTTTGGAAAGAAAAGGTAAGATGGAAATGGGCCTAAAGTGGGACATTATTGTCGGACAAGTAACCTTCGGGAGTGGTATGATGTGGGCCTGCTTCCAGTCCAAGGGAAATGAACAGGTTGACAATGAGTGATTAAATATGTGGGTAAGAACGGGAAGTACTGATGACAAAATTAAAAACTATCATTCTAGAGCACATATTGTCACTGCCAACAGATGATGATGAGATTGCAAAAATGGATCTTTTCACACACTCCTCTGAAACAGGGGTGAAATTAAAGGAGGGGGAAGATGGCCTCGGCAGGCCAGACAATACGCGCAGTGTTTCGGATTTGATATAAGGATCTAGGATTGAGGAAGATTGAGAGAAATATTTGTTAAGATCGTTTAAATCAATATCCCCACATACGACATTAGGTGGCTTTCCGATACCATTAGACTTCAGGAATCTCCAAACATCAGATGGGCTTCGATTATTGAGAGAATCGTGGAAATAGCGTCTCTTAGCATCTCTACACATACGGTTGCAGCGGTTTCGTAGCACTTTAAAGTATGTTAGATTTTTCTCAGAAGGAAAACGCTTGTATTTTCTTTTAGCTTTGTCACGAAGAGCCATTAATTGCTTTATGTCATTATTGAGCCATGGTGCCGGATTTCGCTTGACTTTAACTCTACGGATCGGTGCGTGCTTATCAAACAATTTTAAAATAATCTCAGTTAAACTACGAACCTTTTCATCAACACTGTTGACGTTCAGCACTGAGGTCCAGTCTAAAGCAGCAGCATCACGTTGCAATGCTTCTAAGTCTATGCCCTTATAACTACGAACCTTGTGTTTATCAACAAATAATTTGTATGAATGATAATTTCTATCTTCTTTCATAGGCATTTCCGTAAGGGAAATTCTGATACCTGTAGTGTTAAACACGTAATCAATAATGTCCTCTTCCAAAACATCCTTGTGTACATTTGATATAAATAAAAGTACTTTTAAATCAGCGCATTTAAACTTTGTATTGTGTTCCGAGTTTGCTTTACCAAAATGGCCAATAAATCTATTCCTATAACGACGTCTCTGCATCATTTTCCATTCATCATCTTTATATACAGGTTTCCATGCACCTCCGTCAGCTAAAACTTCCGAAAGTAAATTTATTCTCCTAACACGCTCATTTACGCCCGACCAAAAAACAAAAATCATTGAGCGGGATACCAATGGATTTACTTTTAACAATCAATGCGGCGTTATTTATTTTTTCCGTCAAGGTTATTAACAGTAAATACGGACATTTATAGTTTATTATTAAATATATAAAATAAATAATTTTCCGATTTGATTAACAATAAGCTAACACATCTTGCGTCGGTTTTAATTCTTAAGCTTGATTTTAAAACTTGTAAAAAACATCACAACTTCGTTATGTGTTGTTCATAACCACAATTATAGCCATTTACAGACATTACGTAACAAACAAAAAACGCTCATTGTTACGGTACACTTCAAATAAATTGCAATTTAAATAAAAATGTGGATCGACATGCTATAAAGTTTCTAAAACTTAAATTTGTTTAAACACGCAAATTTTAATAGCGGTCGTCACGAGATTTGGTAATCTCGGTTTGCAAAAATTGAGCGAATTGGTAGTGAAAATTTTAAAATCTTTACTCTTCATAGCACGAGGCACGAGCTATACATAAAAAATTGTCTTAATTAATTAGGCTACACCTTAACTGTGTTTTGTAACTGTGAAAAAAAAGTTGGATTTTATTAATTTGCTAGAAACTAGATGGCACAGAGATAAACAAAAGATTAAAACTTTTGCTTTAGATTTCTTAACTGTTTTAACCCTAGGTGGCGGCTCTGTATTCTATTATTTCGTATAAATGGTTACACTTATACGATTCAATTCAATCTTGAAGCAGCCATGTATCAGTCGCGGTTCTGACTCGTTACGAATAGAATCGTGACAAGCGCCGATGTCCAATGTGGTCGTCGGGTAAGGATAACATATTACTATTTTTGTTTTTTTTTAGTTATTTATTAGTGGTAGGGCCAAGCAACAGTATTCGCTATTGCACGAATGGGCAGGTCCGTCCAGGTATGTTCCACGACCTCACAGAATACCGGCGTGAAACAGACGTGTTACACTTCTACGTTTCATCTGGTGAGTGAGGTTGCCGGAGCCAACTTTATTAAAAGGTGGCAACGCATCTGCAACCATAGGGATGTTGCAAATGTCAATGGGCGGCGCTAATCATTTAACATCAGGTGAAACATCAGTTCTTTTGCCGCCTCAAGTAAAAAACAGACCACACCCCGTACACCACAATAACACCAGAATCCCGGGCGGTTATCACCGCTCCCAACCACTGATTAGCGCAGCATACCTAATTACAAGAGCCCGTTAACAATCCCCTTTAGTAACTGTACGCATGTCCACATGCGTGACTTCAGCAAGGTAGTCTTTTATGGGTGGTTTTTTATGGGTTCTGCGACCCATAAATCTTTATATAGTCTCCGGACAAGGGTAACAGAACTCGTCAGAAGTCATCTCCGAAGCAGCAAGACAACATATTCATAACTAATAAAGAGTACTTCGAAGTCATTTGAAATCATCTAATTTTATCATTGTGGGCCATGAGGCAAATTACTAGTCCTTTACCTACCTAGCACAAAAACATTATGTATAATTATGCTATTCTTTAAGGTACCATATAATACCATAGTGCACTCTAGGAGCTGATAGATAATAACTGTCACTAAGGAACTTGGATTTGAAATAACATCACGATTGGATTCAACATGACATGGCGGGAATGTAGGAAGGAGTTTTACTAAGATTTATACATTGAAATATTAAAACAAAATAAGTTCAGTTATGTATATTTACTAATTAGCTAAAAGCTAGAATAAGTATGCTGGGAAAGTTCTTACATATTATTTATTTTTAACTGTTTCGTTCTTGAGATCGTTACTAGTTTTAAAAACGAGAAAATTAATTTAACTGATTTTACATAAAAAGCGCTTTAAATGGATCATATACAATTGTTATAACAGCACTTTAATTCTTTGCAAATGTTCTGGGCCTACCAGCCCAGTTTTAAAATATATAATATCCATCATGTCTAAATACAGTCTTTAGTATAAATGTAAAAATAAGAAAAAAACATTAATAAATTTTTAAAACCAGTACTTGTAATCAAGATTAACACAACAATAAATAAAATTATATAACGCATTACAATAAGGGCTTGGTATTTTTTCACATTCAACTAGTAAAGTTTTTATTTCATTTTGCCATATGTTAAAAACACAATAGTCATCCATCTTGGTAAAGTATGTAAAGATTACAAAAAAAAAATAATAACGTATTATTAACGCAGTAATATAAACACGGTTCCCGTATCTATCCATGGATTTAAGATTAATCTATTTAAATTCAAACGTAATGCAAAATCTGGGATTGGGGCAGACTAAATCTATTCCAATTCAAACCTGGTTTTTTGCGTTGTTAGGCGTTTACAGCAATGAGCCTTAACCTTTGTCGTATCTCCTTTTGAGGGCACACCCCTTGCCGCCACATATTGTATCGGAATTTTTGGCGTTGATTTCAAGCGGTGTTCAACTTTGCAGTTATTTGGTAGGGTTATTAGCATACTAAAGTTCAAACATTTTTGTATAGAACAGCGCGGCTCGGCATCTGTCACTCAGTCTCGCTTATCGACGCATGGGTGTATCGCTTTGTTGCAAAAAATAAATACGAAAAAAATAAGAAAATAACTAAATCAACGAATATTTACTACCTTTACTTAATACTACTAATTAAATAATATCTTCCAGTATCAATATTAGTTAGTTACTGTATAATATAGATTTCAATGTATGCATGCGATTTATGTGACAGAACACATCGCTTACAGCTCTATAAAGCACAGATTCGGCCGCTTGAAATAATGTTCTCATCTCTTGGCTGGGCTGCTGGCTCACCTAAATAGCAGCACATTCTATTTGACCGTGTCTTACGACACGGTAAGGTACACGGTGAGACACAATTATGTCGATGACATATTTCTGTCCGATCGTGCATCTCTTTGCGTTTTCTGTCGCATATATCACGGGAAGTGGTCTGAGTAATTGTTCGTCAAACTGCCAAATATCATCGACACTTTTCTGCCACGCACAGCCACTTTGTGTGACCGGTTGTTGTCGGCGGTATTCCCGGAGCGATACGACTTAGGGACCTTAGATGAGAGCCTAAACCTTTTACAAAGGTCGCCAACATCGTAGTAACCCCTCCGATGTTGCTAGCGTCCCTAATTAACCGGGGAACCCGCTCGTTTGCCTACTTTGCCATAAAAAAGCCTACATCAGCGAACAACAAAGACTCTGTACAACGGTTCGTATTCCACACAAATGTCACCGCGTAGGGATGGAGCCCACAACACTTCGCGCCTTAGCCGAATTGAATTTAAAACCTAAACTCGGCGGAAGAGCCTACGATTTGGACAGTATCTCCTTCATCGCGAGCTCAATCTTGAGCTGGACGCAGGCGACCCTCTCCTGGAATATCTGGTTGACGAGACTCAGTCTCTTCTGCTCCAGTAGCGCGTTCTCTTTCAGCAGCCTTTGCTTCAGTTCGTGCTCCTCCGCCGAGGGGAGTTCCCTCTGTTCCCTAGCGACTTGCGCGCCCTCTTGTTTGCTCTTCAACGCCACGTGGCTCCTAAGCTTCACAATCTCGAACTGCTCCGAGTTTATCTTCGCTTGAAGCAGCGACTTGAGCTGCAGATACTCGGCGTTCTCGAGCTCCAGTCGCAGCACCATTAGCTCCTTCTCGGTGAGCTTCGGCTTGTCCGGTTCTGGAGTTACCGTCCGGACATTCGGCTCGGCCTGGGCGCCGAAGTTGTCCTCAAACTCGACGGGAAACGTGTTGTCACCCGGTGACAGCTTGCCGTCGTGGAAGGCGTCCACCGATGGCGTTATGGCGGGTTCCGTGTCCGCCTGAAGTGCGTCGTTCGCTCGGGAGTTCGTTTGTGAGTTCGTTTGCGAGTTCGTTTGTGGGTGCGTTTGCGATTGCGTTTGCGAGTGCGTTTGTGAGTTCGTTTGGGAGACCTCCTCTTCGGGCTTCTCGTCGAGCGACGGCTGCTGCGCCAGGACGGTGGGCTCCGTGGACTTTTGCACTGACCGCAATTTCCGCTGCATAGACAGAATCATAATGTCAGTATGGTTTGTGGCTACATAATGAAATTATTATTAAATTATAATGCTGATTAATTGAGCACAAAAATAAATAATACCAGGAATGGTATAGGGAACAACAACATATCCATGGAAAGCGTGTTCGTGATCATTATAAACCAAATATAATGTTAACAATTTCTCTTTATTTCATTTTTAAAAATAGTAATATAAGGGGTTGCATGTTGTTTAATCGACAGAGGGCAGAAGTTGAGCTTGAGGAAGCTTGTATCTACAGGATGTTAATAATGTTGTTGCACGAATGATCATACTTGTATGGGCAAGTACCGCGTACATAAAAGAGACTGGTATGAAGACGAAAGTATTGCACTTTTGCGATTCATCTGCTGAGTGCGGTAACTATAAAGGCTACGTAAAGTCGGAACGGGTTAACTATGATAAGGCCACGCAATAGCTTCGGTTGTTGCACGAATGGGCAGGTCCGTCCGGGTAAGTCCCACGACCTCACAGAAGACCGACGTTTCGTCTGGTGAGTGCGGTAGACGGGGCCACTTTATTAGTGTGGCAACGAACCGCAACTTACGGGTTTTGCAGATGTCCATGTGCGTAGATTATCGGTTAACATCAGTCGAACCGCCAGCTCACTTACCTTCTCATACACAAAAAACAGCGAGCAAGAGTCGAGCGGGGTTATTTAACTACCGCACTCTAATACGGCTGAGCGTTGAGCAGCTGGTCATTATGACACTGGGATACGGTTGAGCGTTGAGTAGCGGGACATTGTGAGATTGGAGGCGACCTTGAGCTGCGTGACGATGCGCTGCGCCTCCCACAGGCGCTGGTCCCTCGCGGCGCTTATGAAGCCGGCGTGCATCTCCGCATGGATCTGGCTCAGCAGCGACTCCTGCTTGCGCAGCTCGGCGCTCAGCGCGGCCGAGTCGCCGCCGAGCTCGCCGCTCAGCGTCAGCAGCGGCGGCACGTACCTGACGCGCGAGAACACCCGACTTCTTTACCGACCTTATCTCGATTGTCGCTTGTTCATAGAGAACGGATATTATTTCGATAATTAGGGACATTGTAATCTGCACTCTATCACACTTACGGTTTGTAGAGGGAGACACACCAGATTGATATTTTTAAATAGTATCAATAATTATCGATTAAAAATTTCGATATATTGATAATTTAACCCATACCAAGAAGGCAAAGACTAGAAGCGAGCCTCTGACGTTAGAATAGTGTATATAACCTTATTAGTGTTAACTTACCATTATTAGTGGCGATACATTGCGCTGCCGTACCATACTTTACATTAAAAAACTTTACATTAAATATCGAGAGAATGTGAGGGAGAGAGACAGATTACTTTCGAGCGTTTAAATCGAAATCGGGTGGCTTACTTCGCGAGAGTGACGTCCGGGAATAGTTTTTCCGCTTTAGTGATGAGATAGGCGAGTAGATTGAGCGACATGTTGAGGGCGGGGCCCATCGCGTTTGCGATCGTCTGCACGTTTGCCTCGTTAACCTGGAACACCGAAACACACTAATGTTATAAATACGAAGGTTTATAATTATATACCACGCGTGCATAACAACTTGAGACCTGAGTCCGATGACGTCACGGAGGCGAGCTTGTACAGTATACAACATAAGTTTTCAACGCATCGCATCTTAAATCCGAGACTATTCGAAATTTGGAACAATTTTTTTGTCGTTCGCTGAACACAAAAAAAACGCGAACGCGGGGGAGGAGGGTGGTGCGAGGGGGCGTTGCCTTTCGCGCGAGTCTCGTGTTATTGTACACGCGTAATATGTATGTATGTATGTATGAGTAAAAAGAGAAGGGAGAAATAGAAGAATGGATAAAGAAGAGAAACGTATGGTAACTAATAGACCCATGTGAAATTTTAGCACATTACCGTGATTAGTCACCGAATGGTTAAACATATATTTATGTGTAAATAAGTATTTAATTATCTAAAGGTATCTTATTCTTAAGTTATTTACTATTAATTATTTCGAATTATTAAATTTCTTATTTCGAAAAGTAACGTTTCAGTATACGTAGCTATTTTTTATTTAAAAAAAATTGTCCTCAAAATTGGCATTACATACAAGAATGTTACATACATTCTTGTATGTAATCTTGTATGCCAATGTTCTTTGTAAGAAATTTTTAAACATTTTTATCAGAGACTGAAGTATCTCGAAAACTGTACATCAAAACGGTTATTTACTAGTTCGACGTGAGACGCCATAGAATAGAATAGAATTAATTATTTATTACATTTAAATAAATAAATAAATGAAATAAATAAATAAATTACGAACGAGATTCAGATCTTTTAAAACTTCTTAAAAAATACATTCGGTTTTGTGAGGGTTCATGACCCTTCCCCTAGATCCACGCTTGATTGGTTAGGTGAATAACCAACGGGCGGTTTCAATATTCTATCTACAGATAGATTTGGTTACTGGAGATGGAATTACGTAAGTATTATGAAGCTAATGTTTTTTTTTAATGTTACAAAGTGGCAAACGAGCTGGCGGTTCACCTGATGTTAAGTGATAATCACCGCCTATGGACATTTGCAACAGCCTTATAAAGTGGGCTCCAGCTACTTCACTCACCAGACGAAAAGCAGGAGTGTAACAACTTCTACTTTACGCCGGACTTGTGCGAGGTCGTGGTACTTACCCGGACGGACCTACCCATTCGTGCAACAGTGAACACTGTTGCGTGGCCTAACCACTACAAATAGCTATCGCTAGTAACCGGATATATCTGTACATCGAATCCCAAAGCCGAAAGCGCTTCAAGAATGACCTGTTATAATCCAAACCCGAAAGCGCTTCAAGAGGGTCACCTGTTCGTTGGCGACCACGCTAGCGAAGTGTCGCATCAGCCACGCCAGTAGGGTCCTGTTGCAATTGGGCAGCTTGGCGATGAGGGCCACCAGGGCGGCTTCGCGCTGGGGCTCGGCTATCGCGGCCGCCTGCTCGAACTGGCTGTGCAGCTCCTGAGTGAGGATGGAGTCCGGCAGCTCGCTGCGGAACGCCACTAGTTATTAAGCGTGCACAGAATAGTGACACAACTCGCTGCGGAACTCCAATAGTTATTAAGCGTGCACAGAATAATGCGGCAACTCGCTGCGGAACGCCAGTAGTTATTAAGCGTGCACAGAATAGCGAGTGTTTTACCTGTGGTAGGACCACGTAATAGTCTTCGCTTTTTATGTGAAGTGGCAAGCGAGCTGGCGAACTGATGTTAAGTGATAACCACCGCCCTGGACATTTGCAAGAGCAGTAGGGTTGCAGATGCTTTGCCACCCTTTAAAGTGTACCCTGCTTATCTCAGTCACCAGACGAAACGCAGAAATCCATGGGCGGCGGTTATCACTTTACATTTGATGAGCCGCTGGCTCGTTTGCCACCTTCCCTCAATTTCATTGATGCTGGCACCGGGTATCGAACTCAGGTCGCTCGAGTATATTCAATTAAAGGCGAGCGCCCGGACACTGAGCTATCATGGCTTAGGGTCTTTACCTCTGGAAAAATTGTGCACTTAATGAGATTGGGACACACGAAAATACAATTCTGATAAAAGATGTTTTATTCCAGATGGAATAAGGTTTTATATCATATGTATGTATATGGTTACAACATTTGGAGATACGTCTGCTTTAGATATCCACTTTTGGTCGAATTAGACAGAGATTTATACATGCTTAAACCAACCTTGTGCCAACGCCGACGCACATTAAAGCGTTCTGTTAAGACGCAATAAACCTGGTAATCGTACTTATTGCCGTATTTGGGTGGCTGTAGATTCGTAAACACATGGCTCTGCGCAATAAAAATTGCATATTTGGTGTGTGATGCGGAAAAAGAGCTTATGGAACATGTTTATATTGTTGTTAATAGCTTTGTTTCTTATTTCTTCTTTTTCCCGCACTGATACTGCAACGTAATGAGTTTTTGACCTTAGACTGAATCTCAAAGAAATAAAAGTCGAAGTACTCTTCTGTGCAAGGGGTATTAGGGTCAAAGTCAAGGCATAGTTCAGCACGCGACTCCACTGTGGATTGGCAGACTTCACAACATCTCTGAAATATTTTTGCTGCGTGTCCATATTATATTGTTTTCGTAAATTTTACGCGCCCTTTTTACAACGTAAAGAAGCGCAAACGCACCAGCAAATAGACCGATATGAAGTTGTGGTATTATATTTTCGTTTTGCTTATCCACTAAAGACCGGTTTCAATATTCAATTGATAATCAAAAGATAGATTTGATTACTGAAGATAGAATTTTGGCGTAAGTCCATACTAATATTATAAATGCGAAAGTAACTCTGTATCGCTTTCACTCCAAAACTACTGAACCGATTTAAATTAAATTTGGTACACAGATAGTCTAGAGCCTGAGAAAGGTAATAGGCTATTTTTTAATTGGAAAAAGTGTTCTAAAGGGTTGAAAGATATTAAATATACATCTTTCAACGCGAGCGAAAAGCTAGTATTCCATAATATTTACGCCAACTATGGAGTTAATGGCAAATACCATTTCGCTAGTAACCAAATCTAAGGCGGTTGGTGCATCTACTCATCAGGTGCAGTAGATTTCCTTAGGCAGTAAACACTAAAACTCAGGTTGACCGCATTGACGTTTGCCAGCATTTAACAACAAAAAAAAACTGGTACCTGATGAACGCTTTGAGCATGGCGCAGGCGACTGGCACGTCCCAATGGTAGGGGAAAGTGGGTCCTCGGTCCGTGAACAGTTTGCGGAGTTGCTGGAGCTTTATCTTGTCCGGATCTGAGCGGTAGATCTGAGTGGACTTCAAGCCGTGCGCCTGCAACAGTAACGTAAGTAATAGTCAACATTTCTTTATTCAATACTAGCGACCCGCACCGGCTTCACACGGGTGCAATGTATTATACATCTAAACTCTTCTTTTCTCCTCTTCCTCTTGAATCACTCTATCCAGTAAAAAAAACCGCATCACTATCCGTTGCGTAGTTTTAAAGATATGAGCATACATAGGGACAGACAGACAGAGCGGGACGACTTTGTTTTATACTATGTAGTGATAAGAGGCTTATTTTAAGCTTTTATGGAACGTCAAAAACAATTAAACAAGGCAAATCATTTATTTACAGATTAATTTTTATTTTTGGATATAGTCTCTTGAAACTTTTAAATTGTAAATTTACGTAGACAAATGAACCAAACATTGCGAAGCCTTCTGGAATCTGAATTCTGAATAAAATTTGAATGTTCTTAGTCGAATATATTCAAGACAATTTTTTCGTTACCCGTTTTTGCAGTTATTTTTTTATATAAAACAAAAAATCTTTATACGTGGGTACGGAATGACATTTGGTTTATTATCGAAGGTCTCTTTCTAATATAAAATCTTCCTTCGATATTGCTGGTTTACTTTATTAAACATCTTTTAAGTTTATTGCTATCAGATTAACACAATCGTAAAAAAATTTAAGTTTGCTGAGCAAAATAAAAGTTAAAAGAAACATACGCTGACGATTGCATTGCGTCTCGCTCTCACTGGCCTGGATAGACAGAGACATAGTGAGGGAAAGAGAAAGAGTGTTAGAGCAAAAACATTGTATACTTTTATCCAGCTTATCAGATCCCAATCGATAGGGCCACACAAAGATTGTGCTTTTAGTAGAGTGCCGATTGCTAAACAAAAATATTGCCACTCTAGCTCGCTTGCCACCTTCTCACATAAATAAAAACCGGCCAAGTGCGAGTCGGATTCGCGCACGAAGGGTTCCGTAACATTATCTATAAAAATGGCAAAAAAAAAAATGATGTGTGTTGTATGGGAACCCCACTTAAATATTTTTTGTTCTGTTTTTTAATATTTGTTGTTATAGCGGCAACAAAATGCATCATCTGTGAAAATTTCAACTGTCTAAATATCACGGTTCATGAGATACAGCCTGGTAACAGACAGACAAACAGACAGACAGCCGAGTCTTAGTACTAGGGTCCCGTTTTATCCTAAAAATAGTGCTGTAGCTGAACTCTAAATGTACTACGTCAATGGCATTAAGGTCATAATAACAAATTTGGACATTCAATAAAACGATACGCTTCATCAGGTCCATTGTTTATCGAAACAGAGTGCTTCAGGTACAGTCGCGCACCAAATTCACTTCGTACGATTAACTGGGTCTAGGACAGACATCCGTTAAAGTCATCCATTGTTCTTGAACAGTGAACATACATATCCGTGTGGTTTCAACGCGCTGTCAAGTACAACAAATTCGTAACAAAGTTTATGTCAGTACTTCATTTCCAAAGATGTAAGTTGTAACTATAGGTAAATCACAGTGTAATAAATCTTAATTATGTTTACGAAGCTTACAAGTGTTTTTTTTTAATTATTCATACTGTATGAAAGCCCATTCGAAAACAGATATTCTTTTGAACTACATAAGATTCGACTCGAAGTTGGGTTGTCTTAAGGCCCATTTACACGGTGCCAGTTTCTTGCCTGTTGTATACAACTAAATTGAAGCAATAAATGAGTTGCATGGTGTAAACAAGAAATGGTCAAAACAATAATTTATTGCATTCAATTATTGCTCTTGTATGTTCAAGAAAATGGCATCGTGTAAATGGGCCTTTAGACATCAAACAAATAGACTATCTATTTGTCTAAGACCCAATTTCGATTTGTAGTTTTGGATTATTTTCGAGCCCAGATATAAGCTAGTGATATAAAAAACAGATTTTATATGCATCAAACTCCAGTTCTCAGATGGTTACTCTACAGACGTACGAATTGATGCTTTTCGTCGTTTTCAATTCACTGCAAATCAACATCTAAAATTGCAACTAACTTGCGCGAAGCCCTGTAACAACGTAACAATCGCAGTCGTTACATAATCCGATAAAGCCACGTGAGACTTTCACTCAAATTGTAAACATCCGGCACAACATTTTGTTTACAGTAGGGTAGCGTAGTTTACAATCTTTCTTATATTCAAACCTTACCCGTTAGCAAACAATCTCCGTAAATATATAATGATCGCCGCAACTTTATAGAACAACAATGATTAATTATTCAACGTGTTTTTACATTAATGTGAATTTAGGCGACTGTTAGTAGAAGAACGGAAGGTATTAGCAACGGTATAAGACGAAAAACCACTTCAATGTCTCGAATTAATAACAATCCTAAGAATATATAGTGGTCTGCTTTGGCATGGAATCCAGAATAAATCCCATTACATTATGCATAGATTGACCTCTGAACTTACTAGTTAGTATAAACGCGTTTAGAACGGTACAAAAATAGTGTACCGTTCTAAACGCGAATTGATACGCGCGTTTGATATCCTTCGAAATATTTCTGTAATACGTCGAAGACATAAAAATGAAAATTGTTGTTTAGCATTTTTAACCTATTTTTATTTTTGTGTGCAAACTTTTTTCTTTGATTGGCAGCTATTATTAGTTTCTTTGTATGCATCTTTGTCGTCAATTCGTTATGATCGATGTCGTGCAGAAAGTAAGCGGGTTCGTTCCGACGTCCTTATCCGGGACACTGGCCAGTTTGAAACCTTGCATTCCTGAACGCACTCAATCAAATGATTAAAAATATTTCCGTGAAGACTCTTGGATGATGACAATGAGACTCACAGCCGTGGGTTCAGTGCTCGGGCGTTATTTTTTCATTTATTACAATCTAGCAACCTGAGTACAAATCGCGTTGGCGGAACCAATGAAATTATTAATTTCTCAGCGGTGTGAAAGTGTTAGAAATAATTACAGGAAAAAATATTTAGAGGATCTGTGAAGTGTGCCAATCCGCAGTGGGGTCGACTACGCCCCCGTACCCTGTACGAAGAAGGATTTGGCCCAACAATGGTACATATAAGACTACACTTGAAAATTAAACGAATCTAATGCTTGTTAACGCTACGAGTAAACGATAGATGCAAGTCAGCCTTATATAAGATATTTTATATAAATAGAAACGAATGCGAGTCAAAAGTCATTAGAGCAAGCCTTGCGCTGACTTAAATGGGCTAAAAAGTCTCATAAAAAAACTGCACCATACTGTTTGTTTCCTAGGCGCAAATGAAAAATAATACGGCAGCCATAGCTATTAACGAGATATCGTGACATTAAATAATAATGGCACGGCTTGACAATACATCATCATAGTATATAATATAAACCAAGCATTCGCCCTTCGTGTGTCGCCCGCGATGTCAGTACAGGCGTGTGTTCATGAATAAAACATTTAATTATTGAGAAACTAAACAACACAAGATTGACATTTTCTATTTATGACTCATTGAATATAGAATAATTTAAAAGGGCAACATACACATACTATGTACAAGCATACATTATTGGTGCAAAAAAACTTAGTAGCAAAGATTTTTTTTTTAAGTCTTCTAAAAAATATTTCTTCAAAAAGTATACTGTTCAAGATGTGGCGGTGTAATGAAGCATATAAGCTGCCAATAACTTTGCAAGTAAAGTAACTGCCTATACATGTCCCACTGCTGGGCAAAGGCCACATCTATACAGAGGGTATCAGGGCATAGTCCACCACGCGGCCCCACTGCGGATTGGCGGACTTCACATATCTTCGAAAAATATTTTTTTTGTTATTATTTTCGAAAATATGCCAGGTTTCCTCACGATGTTTTCCTTCATCGCGGAGCACGTGATAAGTCAGCACTTAAAGTTAAAAACTTCATTGGTGCCGGCACCGGGGATCGAACTCAGGTTGCTCGAGTATATTGAATTAAAGGCGAGCGCCCGGACACTGAGCTATCACGGCTCTTGTGTGTACTTTGCACACACAACAAATTTCTTTTTATATAAAAGGGCCGCTATGGTCACTCAAAATACCACAATGAAGGAATATATTTTTTTTATATGTGAGAAGGTGGCTAACGATTTGACGGTTCGCCTGATTGACATTTGCAACACCCGTAGGGTTGCAGATGTGTTGCCACCTTTTGATAAAGTGGGCTAACTCACTCACCGGACGAAACGCAGAAGTGTAATACTTTCACTTCACGGGGTCTTCCGTGAGGTCGTGGTACTTACCCGGACGGACCCTGCCCATTCGTGCAACAGCGAACAGTGTTGCACGAATGGGCAGGCCTGGCCCTACCACACTCAAAAGTGTCTGTATACTCGTATCGGAAACTGTTGTTAGGTCCTACCACAGACAATAGTGTCAGTACTCGTATCCCTTACCTGGAGGAAGTCGATGCTATCGCGCACAACCAACGGCAGCCTCGTGTCATCGTGGCACCTCGAACGCTCGACCGACTGCTGGAGAGGCACTCCGAATATGGGGAGAGCGACTAAAAGAAACAAGGTCTAATTATTTCACACAATTAGTTCACACAAGTGCCCTCCACTTCGGCGAGCTGACAATGGCAGAATTTGGTTATAATGCTATCGCTCAACTCATACGCCTGCAGCGATACGGTGGCAAAATTAAAAAAAAATAATCCAGACCACGTTAATTCAAGTTTTTCTCAATAGACCATATCGTGAACCATTAAGTTTTGGTGGTATCTGAGATCACTCGTTACAAACCAACAAATATTCCGCCTTTATAATATTGTTATAGTTACTTTAGTGACAACAGGTAAAACAAAAATTCATACCGTAGTATTAACTTGCTTCTTAAGATAGTTTCATTTGTATAATGGGATCTACTTCGGTTTAGGGTAGTTTACTGTTAAAGACGGAAACATAGTCATGCATATTTAGTACGACACATCGTGAAGACTTTAGACTGACTACAATGCCCCAATGATCTATTCGCCCCGGTCTCAATGACTATCTAATTAAATTTGTTCGCAATATACCAAAAAAACCAATAGATAATGTGAACATCAAAAACATACCTTGGATTAACGATTTTCTGTATTTATGTGAATAATATAGGTACACGGTTATATAAACACCATTAGGCTTGTTTTAGTGCCTTTGATACCTGTGCAATGAACGCTGTAGAAAAAACCGAAGCAATTCGTAATAAAAATTTACTTAATTACCTTAAGAATGTGCCTGGGCAATGGCCGAGGTAGTTATAATTAGGGTCCTAAAAACCTTGCAGGGATGCTCAATTGTGTTAATGGTGAAATCTTACTCATGTGGATAACATGATAATTTCTTGTATTTACGCTATTACACATCACAAATGAAACTATTTATCGGATTTATCGCGTTTATTTCTTGTTAATTTTAATTTCCGACGTTTCGAACGTTTTACAGCGTTCATGGTCACGGGAGAAACTTACGCCCGGTTTCTGAAACTCTGATCATCGTAGAAGTTAACTAATCAGCTGCTTTATCTTTTTTTCTTATTTAACTAATCAAATGGCTTTTCAAATGTCATTTGAGTTGCCCAAAAGATGGTTAAACTCTCTGAATTGATTAGAACGATCTTAACGATTAGAATGATCAATTTAAAGAGATTTGAAAAGCCATTTGACAGTTGATTAGTTAACATCTACGATGATCAGTGTTTCAGAAACCGGGCGTGAATGCGCTATAGTTAACCCGGGCTACAGTCAGTTGTTAAATTATTAATTTTGTGTCCGATCTACGCAGGAGCTAATTATATCTTCTTTTCTTGCAGTAGTGGTTCGTTTGGGCCTAGATTTAATTTTATTGATGATAGGATCCCAAGCTGATGGCACCCAACCATCTTCGCTATTGAAATTATTGTGTTTTTAATTTCAATAGCCTCGCGAATCATCCTTGGGAGGAAACGGTGTTCTTTTGCAAGGATCTGTGATCTATCAAACCTGATGCAATGGTTGAGTCGATTTAAGGTGTGCTCACAAACTGCAGAATTTTTGATCTACTATATTTACGTAGGGTGCGAAACGTCGGGAATTAAAATTAAAAATAAACGCGATAAATTCGTAAAATTAGTTTCATTTATTCTGTGGTAACTCTGTTCGTCTCGGCCAAGATTTCAGTGAACTATTTACACTAAGACGGAGATGCGAAACGTATTGTGTAAAAGGAAATGGAAGAACAAAATGGAAGGACATACTATTTCCTGAAAGCTTTTCGATGCATGAACATGTAATAGAAAATGGAATGTAAAACAAGAGTTTCTACCCAACTTCTTTTAAAGGCAGGTATTTGATTATTATTTTCTCCCCTTTCTTTATTTATAAAAAATGCACGTTTTAATGCTTGTGTTCTATGTTTTTCTACACAGCTCAGCCGATTCTGATGGAATTTGGTGAACATTTATGTATTAATTTTATGGTATTAATTTATATTATTAATAATGAACATTTATGGTATTTCCTGCTCCGTGCAAAGTGTATAAACTATTTTAAACACTAGTTTTATATGGCATCGTAACGCATGCCGCATGGTGATGTTAGAAACTTGAATTGATAAGTATTGATCACCCAGGAAGGAGCTGTCCCACTAAACTATATTTAATAGCCTGCAGCAGTCAACTAGCGAACAAAGGCCTTTATAAGTGGTCCGGGGAAGTACCACGGCTTCGCCGAATACCGGGGTGATGTGTGAAAAACCCGTAGGGTATTTGTAGATGTGTGGGCGGAGGTAGACACTAGTCTCTAACGTCAGGTAAATCACCTGCTCGTGCCCCTCGTTACCCCCTCCGGACCCCCTCTTCTCAGTCGAATTATCCATCTTTTGTCAGAGTTTGCGGAGATGCAGGGGAGCTGACGGTGACAACTTGTCCTCACCGTGCACCAGCTACATTGTTTACTCCGAGTGGTTAACTCGCGGGCATCTACCGACGAAGCTGGCAAAACCGCAGGACTAATAAATAGCAAACGTGAAGTTTTTCACAAAAAAAAAAACATAATTAATCCATAAAACGGAGCTAAACTAAACCGATACTATAGGTAATTTTTTTCGAAACCTGCCCACAACATATTTAAAGGTCCTGTTATTATCCAATTAAAAAAGTATCCTAAATATTCTGAAACTATTTGAAAAGGACTAAGAAAAGATTTTCTTTGCACTATTCTTCTGCAACATTATGACCATCTTTCATTAAAGTCAACAAAAACCGGCCGCTAATAAAAAATAAAAAGGAAAACATAGGTTAGCTGTCAAACTTACCGCCAATCGGAAAGCCATTTAAAAATGGATTCATTTCACCTGTTAATAATTCAGCGCAGGAGCGAAGCGTGGGCGACGTGTATCATACGTTACGAAACCTTTCGCGTTATCGCCTTTGCCACCTTGAACCGGTATTGTTTTATTTGGTGGCCATAGATAATAAAACCAGACGGTTTTTAATCATCGAATAGTTATCGCTTAAATTAGTGTAGATGGGACTACAACGTTGCCCGCACGCGAAAATTCATACTCATAACAACATAATATTAATTGTCAATGTACTACTAGTATCTAATAACAATATAATAATAAATACTTTAAAACTTACCAAACTTTACGTTTCATGAACAGTGACGACACTATTATAAACGGTTTGTCGAAATCTTAGTGCAATGCGAAATAATAGATACGGAGGGAAAATGGTTGTACAATGGAAAAATATAAATATAAAAATCGCTCTGCAGTGTGAAAAGAAAACCCAAACAAATGGAGCTGTTAGAGCGAGGCTATAGTTGCTAATTGGTGGACCGTGACCCACAGCATAGATAAGGGCTCATACACATTGTACCGAGTAAAAAATGGTCTGGAAACCGAAAGGAAAATCCGGTACCTATTAGGTATTTGGACCCAACTAACCTAGTGGATGATGAGCCTGTCTCTCACGCCGGAGATGGTGTTTCGTTCGTTCGATTGTCTATATGTTTGTATATCTGTAAAATGATTTATTTACACGAGGCAATAAGCATGTTTAACAGTTACCTAGAGATAGGTAAGAGTATATAGTAGGCCTAGTACTATACCTTGCATACTAGGCCTAGTACTCATACAAGCCTTATTTAGTTTGGAACTAGGTAATGTTGTGTAAAAATATTTTCTGGGATTATTATTTATTTACTAGCTGGTCCCAGACTGCGTTGCAGTCATAGATAAAATGGTTCTAGATATATCGTTCGATATTTGAAATAGTCATCTTATGCCTTCGCAGCCACTTTCGCACAAGTGAAAATAATAATTACTCGACAAGACGAGCTTTATCGCAATCGGAATCTTTTTTCAAAAATTAATTTTTCTTAAACTCTCATGGTTTTAAAGTTACTGTACTGACTGAGTTATAATTGTTAAGACACTAAAGAAAACTTCAAAACTCAGTATGACGACAACCAGACGCCAGATTTAGGAAAAAGTTCTATATAACGGTGAAAAGAAAACTATCCATGTAAACTGCATAAAGGGCCTTTTCAAAAAATTTCTTTACGATGCACTCGAGATTTTCAATTTTAATTTAAGATTACCTGATAAGAGTATCTTCTAACACCAATTACCTCTTTTTAAAGAAAAGAACCCACACCTGAGAATGAGATATTTATGTCAACGTTTTAGAAAGATCATATTCATACAACCTACATATGTTCAAACATTGCCAGTTTGATGTTGACTTTTGGAACACTTTTATAACTATATATCAATATTAGTGCATCCATTAAATAGTGTAACTTGTGAATCAATCGACAATTTGAGGTAATATCTGTTTTTAAGCTAGGGCGACGCGCCCACCCAGGAAATGCCAAACAATATCTCGCCAACCAGCTGGTAGCTTCATATGCATGAATAATGCAATAAATACGGCCAGTCTTAGTATCGTTAGAACCATTACACAATCGTGTTGAGGAACAAAACTATATTGAGGTTACTTTGTTCGGGTCACTAAACAATATGAGAAGCAACGGATTGAAAAAGAAATATATATAAATTGTTAGGACAACTCAATGTTTACGCCGCTGTATGTTTTTTTTTTTATTTACACTTTATTATTCTATTCAATACAAATGGCGGAATTAATGTCATATGGCAAACCAGCCATCCGGAAAGGTATTATAATAATAACAAAAGACACAGCTGAAACCTATTCGATTGGGGAATTAGTTCTACTTTTTGATGAACAAAGCTTTATATAGTAACCTCTTTTATTTATATTCCACAAAACTGTTAAGTATTCGAAACGTCGGGTGTTTAAAATTGAAACAAACCGCGATGGAATTATTAAAACGTTAAAATTATTAAACGTTACGTTGTGTTATATGAACGAATAAAATTAGTGGATACTTCTTGTATCTTTTATTAACTGATTTTTGATTTCAGTCCCGAGACTATAAGCTTCATCTGACGCAGAATCGGTGGTCTAGCCAGAACCCACGGGTTTGGTCCCTCCGCTGTGGGTAGGGCCGCGCATGTGCTCATGCGTGCGTTTAACCATGGTGTGTCATCTAAGGGCCATCGAGGTCCCGGTTAGGACCGAAACCCCGATGGCCGTCGACTGTGCAATTAGCTAATCGGTGGCTGTGAGCGGTGAGAGCCGCCCCGGAACGCGGGTGTACCTTGTGTAAAAAGTGGATACTGCAACGAAATACGAGTCCATTTCAATGTGTCTGAGAATGAACACGAAGTGTTGTTGAATGTTTAGTCCGAAGAAGTGTAAATTCCTAAATTATTTGAATGTTTTCAAGCATTATATTATTTAGTTGTATTATAAAGGATGGGTTCGTGGGTAATAGAGATTGATGTTACCAAATCCAGATTAAACTGGTTAATAGAATGTATCTTAACATAATGGCACTAGTGTTGATTTTCAAATGAAGGATGACTCAGAACACTCTCGTTCCAGGGGTCATTAGTTTTAACGCATGAGTTTAGATTGAGAGACATTGATTGGACATAACATCAAAAAAAAATCCCCTAATCCCTTCAGACCTGAAAATATTTAAATGCTTGTCAGAAAATGGGATGGTTATTCCAAAAGACTTACCTCCTAAAGTGAAAATCTCCTCAAAAGGCACTCCCGACGTCACTGTTGACGGCACTTTAGTAATTTTCTTATCCTTTTTATCCTTTTCCTTGTCTTTCACTTTCTCCTTGTCTTTTTCTTTGACTTTTTCTTTCTCCTTCTCCTTAGTCTTCTCTTTCTTATCATCCTTCAGCTTCTCTTTCGATTCTAGTTTGAACTTTGCCTTTTCCTCCTTTTCCTGTTAACGTACCAGTTATAAAAATTTAATATTCATTCGTATATTACGTTTATCTTAAAAACTAACAACAAATTCTCATCAAAACAAATTCGTCATTATTCTCAACACAAGAACATACTGATGAAAAACAAATTCAAAAAAAAAAGAACAAGCAAATCAAATGTACTCGCGAAAAAGAACTACGACGCCAGAAAAAAAAAATCCAGACTACACGTAAAACTTTTATGTCACAGACGCGCGAACTAATACGTCACCTTCGTGAAAACGCTGCGCAGGTGATGCATGTCGCGATTTCAAAAAGCAACTGAGTGAGTCTGAATGGTCGCTCATCGCAGTGTTTACCCGCCAACCAAGGTCGCGGTGGGCGACGGCTTAGCTTCCAATTTATGCATAAGCGAATTAGCCGTTGCGCCGCGAAATTTCTATGTGTACCGTGAACATTATGAATAACAAAGTATAACGCCCGGTTTCTGAAACACTGATCATCAACTACGAGTAGTAGAAATCAAATAAGCAGTTGTCAAATGGTTTCTCAAATGTCATTTGAATTGCCAAATGGATGGTTAAATAAGTAAAAGTTGATCAAAACGATCACAATTATCAATGATTAACAATCCTTTTGGCAACCCAAACGACATTTGATAATCCATGAGGGATTGTTAAACTCTTTGAATTGATCATTCTGATCATTAAGAAGATCATTCTGATCAGTTCAGAGGCTTAAATTACATTCGATAATCAATTTTACACCTGATTAATTGACTACTACTATTATAAGGATCGATAGAGTTCGTAACGAAGACATCCGCAGTAGAACTAAGATAACCGACATAGCTCAGAGGATTAGCAAGCTGAAGTGGCGATGGGCCGGCCATATAGCTCGTAGAACCGATAACCGTTGGGGAAGAAAGGTTCTCTAGTGGCAGCCTCGTACTGGCCATCGCAGTGTAGGACAACCCCCCACTAGATGGAGTGACGACCTGTGCAAATGTGCGGGAAGTCGATGGATGCAGGTGGCTCAGGATCGTACTTCATGGCAGTCTATGGGGGAGGCCTATGTTCAGCAGTGGACTCAAACAGGCTGAAATGATGATGATGATGATTATTCTGGTCAATTCAGAGAGTTTAATCATCCTTTTGGCAACTCAAATGAAATTTGAAAAGCCATTTGACAGCAGATTAGTTGACATCTACGATGATCAGTGTTTCAGAAACCGGGCATCAGTGTATTAAATACGTATGCATGGAAAATAAATATTGAGTCGTGCACGCCGTGTTAAATGGATAATATCGTGACTGCAGGTATGTGGTCAGTTGCCAGTTACCGCTGTATGTTGGTTGTGGGTTCGATCTCTGTAAACTGTTGCTCTAAGCCTAGTGTACTTTGCATCAATGAATTCACTTTTGTGAAAGTCCCTGATAGTTTTCTAGCACCGGGATGTTTTTAAAGATTACGAGGAAAAAAAGATATAACACTTAATGTCATGTTGTTAAAAGGTAGCAAAAGATGTTAAGCCCTCTATTATGGTTCGGAGTTCTTTCGAACTCTGTTTTCACAAGTGGTCGGTACTACTTGCGGACGAAGAGGCCTTTGCCCAGGCGTGGGACATGTAAATGCTGTTCAAATTCAAAATATCTTCATTCAACTAGACCCTTGCGCGTTAAAAATTAGTATATAAGTTCGTAAGGTACCACTGTTACTGTACTACTACTACTGCTTTCACAAACTAGCTTAAAAGACGTGTAATCTAATAAACCTACAGTAATGAATGTTACAACTTCTGTCATAGTCCAAGCGGTGGTGCCTAATAGCGTTGTAAGTGACAGTACAATATTATCGTACTTCTGGCCTTGTGGATTTGCGATGAGAAATAATTTCTGTCTCAAATTTACCTAGGTGCCACGTTTACGGCGATAGGGTAATATAATAATAACCCACAGGTCAAATGCTTTACAAGTTTTTTCACAGGGTGTCCCGGTGAAAAAACTCGAACAGGAACGGCGTTTAAAATGGACGCACCACCATTGAGCTATCAAGGTTCTATCCAGCCAAAATATTATACCTCGCGACAATGTTTCTTCCAATGACTCAACGCGTCTCCAAGTTCAAAGTAAAATAACTTAATAACAACAATGTTGTATAAAAATAAGTCTCCGCATATATTTAAGAAATATACGAGTCATACGAGTCGCACATGCGTAATTCAAAGACAATGAACTTTTGTTCGACCCGCGTATTTTATGCAAGAATCGCATTTCTGCTAGTGATGTAGTATAGTAGTCTGCGGTCTGTATCTGTAGTTGTTAAACAGTCGTACAAAGTAGACGTCGTGAAAAACTTAAAATGACTAACGGAATGAGCTGTAAGAAAAAAAAAAGGAATTACGGTCAAACAACGACCAGGGGGCAACCTTTATTATACATCTTCATTGTCATTTCAGCCTTTTTAAGAGTCCAGTGCTGAATATCTTAATTAATATTAATTGCATAACTTACTTTATCTTTTTCTCTTAACTTTTCACGTTTTTCTTTTTCCTTCTTCTCCCTCTCACGCTCCTTTTCCCTTTCTTTTTCCTTTTTCTTCTCTTTTTCATTCAACTCTTTTTGTTTAGCAGAATCCTCCAGAACCTTTTCCTTATCTCGTGATTTCTCACGCTTTTCCTTGTTTTTAGAAGGGAATTTGAAAGATTTTGTCTTTTTTGACTTTGATGGACTCCTAAAAAAAATTTCAACGTAATATCGGACCATGAGGTTGCCATTCAAGGCAGTTACATGTTACAGGTATTGTGTAAACAGGTTTTCACAATGACATCCACAAACAACTCAGTACAAAACAATTTCAAACAATTTGTAAAAGCTACCCTAATGACAAGGGCCTATTATAATGTCCAAGAATACATTGAGGACAAGGATGTGTGGATATGACTCTTGCTCTGCACTTGCAAGACCCCTGACTGCTGCTGATTTTATACCTAAATAAGTTCATATAACTGTATCACAAAAAAAATAACAAAAAAGAGATAACAAGACTGTAGAGATTCTTGCCGGTTCTTCTCTGTTCAGGTCTAGTTTAGTGAACAGGTGATAGTTTTTTTGGCATTCAATAACAGCTAAGGTGAGCCTATATTGAATAAATAAATTTTAACTTTTTTGAAAGACACAAACAGGGGCCAGCAGAGGAAATTTATATAAAGTATGTAGTAAGAAATGGACCAAAATAAACAAACAAATTATAAATAAGAATTAAGAAGTCTGGTGTTTCCATATGTTTTTGTAATATTTATTTAGTCTTCAATATAATGATTCTGTTATTAAGGACCCAAAATTTTGATTATCCCATAATAAACATAAGGACTTACTTGGTGTCAGTGTCCTCTTCTGGAGAGCTTTCACCTTCTAATGCTGCATATCCCCGATCTTTCTTGGACTCTTTTTTATCTTTACGCCGTCCCAATAAATCCTTCTTACTTGGTTTTTCATGATCCGCACCATCACTAACTAAACATTTAATTTTATATTTAAAAATAAATACATTTAGGAACTTGTGTTGTGTTATGAAAAATACATAATAGAATAAATAAGCTAACTGAAATAACTTAGTTAAACTAAAATAAAATTTACATAAGAATAATTCATTATATTCATAAATATAATTATATTAAAAAGATGGATAATTACAAGTTATATAGTTATCTTAATGAAATAATTATCTAAATTTCACTAGTACAAGTAGCACAAGTACACTATAACAAGTGTACTACATTGGTCATACTAATTTTTCATGGCTGTTCTTATGTCTATGAAGGATTTAAAGTAATTTTTATTATTAATAAATGGAATATAATATATCAAACTATATTTTGAAAAACAACATGCTTACAGTCACTTTCATTGCTTTTTCGTCCGGTTTCGGAGGCGTATAATCCTGGAAAATCTTTTTCCACGTCAGGACTTTCAAAGTCCATTTTCAAAGATTTTCAAATGACTTGAATTAGTACGTACTGTCTTGTTATAAATTAAATTAATATTTGCGTGCTATTGTTATCAGATCATCGTTATCAAATTATACAAAATTATCAACAAAAACAACAAACGTCAAGTAAGTAATGAATGAATTACAAAATATATATAGATTATAAATAATGCAATCCAGATGTTTTCAATTCATGTTAGAGAAAGATAAACAAATAGAATAATAATAATGAAATTGAAAGGTATAGGTATGATTTAATCCAAGGACGTCTCAGACGGAGGTTTGTATTTTGGCTCGATCAATAATAGTACGTACCCAGAGAAAGTAACAATACAGAAATAAGGCCTTGGTGCCATAGATGGCAAAATTTTTAGCAATGATTGGTGTCAGTAAGCATCGTATTGCATTGCAGTATTACATACTAAAATTCTTCAAGTAATCAATCTGATTGGAAATATTCAAAAAGGAATATGTCAACTGCCACATCAGAGGCATTTACTCCTACTTATACTCCCGCTTGAGGAACTTTACAATAACGAGTGAGTAATATTACATTACATTTATAAAAAGTCACTATATATATAGTTAAATATACACGGAGAACTTTACAATAACGAGTGAGTAATATTACATTATTTATATATATATATATATTGACTTTTTTTTTCTACTATAGCTCCACTGATACGTCAGTGATTTTGCCAACAACTTGGTACTTGGAGATCGATTATATATATTGACTTAATTAGACCATTTAATTAAACATCGTGATGACATTTGGGACTTCTTGTGTCTCTTAAGTTATTCGAATAAAAATGAAAGCCAAATTAGATTATTATACTCCAAAAGAGGATAAAGACGATACGCTGGCATGTAAATGCCAGCATATCGTCACTTGATTTGAGCTTAACGGGCATAATATGTCCGCATAAATTGAAAGTAAAAAGTGACGAGGAATCGAAACTTATTAGAAAGTGTAGATTTGATTGAGCTTCGGGGCAAAGTACTAACAAGAAAAGCATCTTGAGATGAGTGATTTAGACAATTTATAATGCAAATCTGATGAATGGTGTACCAATTTCGGCTTTCTTCATTAAATGCTTGGATTGGTGTCTAGAAAGCCTTTTACATATATATAACATAATTAATGAATGATTTTATTATATACATTCTAAATATTCAGTTTTAAGATATTAACTTAGATTTTATTTTTGCTTGGTTGCAAATTACAGATTTGATTCACTTGATTTCAAAAGGTGTGATTACAAGTTGAGTGAACGAATGATAAAGATTTTATGAACAAAAAAGACCAAATATTTTTAGTAGATTTTCTGATGAATGTGATGTGGCCTACCACTACAACTAGATATTGTTAATCAGGGAGGCGGTGGCCACACACATTTATTACATTTTTGTTATAATTCAAAGTTTTGAAGGCTTTACAGCGCGGATATCTATCCATCTCCAGTTATTTTTGACCTGTGCTTAACGTGTTCTTTAAAAGTTTGACCGTATGGTACAAAGAAGCCATCTTAGTGTACGTACTCTGTTGTATGGGCATTTTCTAAAGATGGAGGTACTACTTTTCCCTTCATCATATTATCTATGTTATGTTTACGTGTCAGTGTCAAATGACTGTCAAAGTCAATAGTAAAAAAAAACAAGATATTTAGGCAAATTTGTGTGTGTTTATTTTAGATTTCAGTTAATGCATAAATTATGCAAGGTGCCCTAAATAAAATCGACACCACGTTATTTATTATACAGTAAGAAAAAAAGCAAATGTTTAATTACAAGAAGAAGTCCTTAACTAAAATGCTTAGATATGTATTTTGAAATAAATATTTTCAGGCTCAATATAAACATTTCAAATGTCATGGTTCGCGGAACTCGCCGGTAAGGCGGAGAATCTTCTCAACAACATTGATGAGCAGACTGGTGTGGCTTTACGAAACCATACCACTATCAGATCTAAGAAACGTGAGATAAGCCTTAATTCCGATAAAAAATGGAATCAAAACAAACGGTCGACGGCCCGTTCGCCCAAAAGGAGTACACTCGAAGCCAACCCATGTTCATCACCTAACAAAAATGTTTCACAGCCATTTCAGTTGCTATCACGTTCAATAGAAAGAGAAAACAATGTACAGAATCAAACAAGGAAGAAGTCCCCAGCTAAAAGAAATAATGCACAGAATTCACCTTCTATTTCTCCAAGAATCTCTAAAAACGAAATGAAGATTGGGGATTGGGGCCTAGAACATAATGGACTTAGAAGACGGAGTAAGAATTCATAGTTATCTTTTTTGTCATGCAACTGACTGCCAGTTGTGGGAATGAGTAAAATTTGATTTTTTTTAAATTGTACTGTTGCTTACCACAAAAAAAAACAAGAGTGAAGTTAAGAATAGTTTTCAATAACCTTATAATTATATTGGTATAACTTTTCATGAAATGGATTTCCTTATTTTTATTCATTTTTAATATTTTCCAGGATACAGTTTATCTGGTGACATGGACACATTAAACAGGGACAATGTATATAAGTTGCAAAATCTTGAAGTGGAAAATACAATGTTGAAAAATGAGATTAATGTTATGAACAAGGAAATATCAGACCTATTAGACAGATTAAGAAAAACTGAAGATGGTAGTAGTTTTAGTCCTTTATTATTTACAATTAAAAAAAATTTTTCTTATACATCAATTGAATTGGGCTGGCTGATGTGTGTAATAATGACTACTGCATATAAAATTCCATTGGGCTACTTCTGAAGTGGTATTAATACAAATACTTTACTAATAATAAATAAGTTTTTTAATATCTGCAAGCTGCATGGACTTACTAAAAAAATGCATACTAATAAATAGTAAATTTTTCCCAATAGTATAGCTGTATGTACCTATATTATATATAATTTGTTCTGATATAAATTTTTCTGCCAAATATTGTGTTATAGTTAAGTCAAATACATATATTACTGAATTGCATCTATATAACAAAACTTTATTTTCAGATTATAGCCAATTTAAAAGTGAACGTAATAATACAGATCTTCAATCCCATAAGTTAAAATTGGACAATGAGTCATTGACGTTGCAGCTTGATCATCTGCGGCGTAAGCTAGTTGATCTAAATTCAATGGATGTTAAGAATAGAGAACAAAGTCAAGAATTGGAGGCGGAAACATCATTACTCAGGAATAATGTAAGGAAGCTTGAGGATAGGTGAGACTTTCTGTATTGTCAGTATTTGTCTCTTTCACATGCAAAAATCTATGCATGCGGTTTCAGTACTGATCATGATCAAATGAAAAAAAAAAACATGGCCAAAGTGTATAATCAATCCCCATAGGGTGTCTAAAACCAACTTTACTTCTTCTTTTCCACCGATACATTCTGTTTGTCACTCTTTCTCCCCCAATTTTTTTATCTATTTGACCAATGTCATGTGATGTTTGTCAGTCGGTCTACAAGTGTGTGATAGACACAATGCTTTACAAAGCAGAAAATAGACAATTTAATATCTATACATGTATATCACTTTACAGACTGAATGAAGTAAATGAAGACATTAAGAATAAAGATATATTGATATCTAAATTGGAAAACGAATTACGTCACACGCAAGCGGTGATATGCGAACAGCAGAGCAGCATAGAGAAATCCACATCGGAGTGTTTACGCCTAGAAAAGGACTGGGAAAGCTATAAAATGAGGGTAAAAGGGATGCTCTATGCCAAGGACGAGGAACTAAAGAAAATTAGAGAAGGCGCCAATTTAACCGAGGACGCGAAGGAGTTGATGGAAGAAATCGAATCATTGAAGTAAGTGATTTTTCTCCTTAGATATTAAATTAAATAATAATATTAGATGATGAGCTATAGGTGCATTAAAACAAAGAAAAGACGAGATTCTCACGCGATGAAGATGTCGCTTGATGACCGCTTAGCTTATTGGCTAGAGCGTCTGGACGCGAGATCGGTTAAGACGCTTCGAAACCCGGTAGCGGCGAAAATTTTTCGTTAATTTTATCTACACATGTTAAGTATCATTCATTAAATTTTCATAGGAGTGTTTCCAATTTTTCTCCATTGAGAATTGTTTTTATTTATGCGATTTTGACTGTGGACTACCATTCTTTTTTTTTAAACATTGTATATATATACTTACTTTAGGATAACATTATTTTGTATTGTAAGGACGTTTTACAAACAAAAATTTCACGTGGACAAATACCCACATGCGAGACAACTATCTGTGGGTCACAAAAATAGTTGTCACGTCTGGGAATCGAACCCACGACCCTGACGCCGAAGTCAATACCTTGGTAACTGCACCACGGTGTCATCGTATTAACTGCTTGGACATCATAGACCAAATTCAGATGTGCTAATTGCCTGTATCCCTACGAAAGTGTTACCAATTTTACTATTTCTGTGACCAACTAAATTCCAGATAGTCTCTGTAATTGAAAGCTGATACCTACTTGTTTAAAATAAAAAATGGCGTCCACGTTCAAATTTTATTCGAACACGCCCAGCTGTTTCAGGTTGAAGAGGAAGATTGAAATTAGTTTTGAATCGCCATTTTTTCGCCTATTTGTAGGCAGGAGCGCGCCGAACTAGCGGAGGAGATGGCTGAGGTTAGGCAGGAGAGTGAGAATACGAAAGAGAAGCTGCAGGAGATTAAGACGCGGCACTCGGCGGTGGAGAAGATAGTTCTCGCCCTGAGGGATGCTTTGAAGGAAGAGCGCTCTGCCAGGACCAAGGCCGAAGTGGAATGCGCTGCCCTCGGGAAGGTTGGTTATCTACCGAAGATCAGCTACTGTTCAATACCACTGGACGTTAATAGTGATCAGGGCCGGATTTAGGGGAGGGCAACCGGGTCTACAACCCCGGGGCCTCCACAAAAGAGACTTCGGAAAAAAAAAAATTCAAATACAGACTATATAGTAAATACTAGTATCTTGTTTCCGATTACATTTATATGTTCGTTAAATAATAAAAGAATCTATAACTACTTGGTTTCACAATAAATTATTTATTGGAAAACTCGATTTTCATTTTATTTGGAAAATAATTTGGGCCCAAGGGGCCTCCACTCCTTTGTGGCCCCGAGGCCTCCAGACCTCTAAATCCGGTGCTGATATTGATGCACTTGACTTTATCAGTGGCCGTGCAACGGCTTTTTCTTTTGCACGAATGGGCAGACTCAGGAGACCAGCGTAAAGTGGAAGTATAATACTTTCGCGTTTCGTCTGGTGAGTGAGGTGGCCATGGCTCACTTTTTGATGTGAAACATCTATAGCCGCACGTAAAACCGATTTCTGGCGTGGCGACGCATGCCGTGGCGACGCGTCGCCACGTTATATGAAGGTATATATATATATATATATATATACAGTCTATATGCAGTAGCGTGTATGATTAATTACTCAAATTGAAATTAATAATTAATTAAATTAACTTTAATTAATTGTGTGTACTATTACCGAAGTCACTGATTAAACGAATTAAGTAGTCACGATTTGAAACAAATTCGTAAATTTTTGTATTTAATGGAAATTAATGTTTATTCAATAAATAGTCATAAATAGTTATCTGGAAAAAAATCGTAATATTTTATTTTATCATTATGACATATTTAGTTCCTATCACAATCTGTTCTTTTCTGCATATTACTTTAAAAAAAATAATGTCGATGTTTCACATCTGCCAGGCGTCCCGTGACGGCTCACATTTTTTTAATGATGGCAACGCACACGCGACCCTTACACCAGGTTTCTGAAACACTGATCATCGTAGAAGTTAACTAATCAGTTGTCAAACGGCTTAAGATTGGTTAAACCATTTGAATTGATCTTTCTGATCATTATCTTTGTGTCTCAGAAACTGGGCGTTAGTGTCATATGCCTATGAGCGGCGGTAATCACTTAACACCAGGTAAACCGTCTGCTCGCGTACCAACTTTCCCATAAAATCCGATTGGTTTGAGCCACTGTAGCTCAGTATCTAAGTTCTCTTTCGCACTAACCTATTTTTATTACTTCGGTACCAGCGCTGATGAAGTCGATGTCGTAAAAAAAAGTTTTCCCGCCACAATTATTGCCTTAAAAGGTTTTCCTCCATTAGATTATGTTCTTGATTTTTTTGATATTGTTAACTACTATTAACAACTTAATTGTGAATTGCCTTAATTGGGTATTGCCAAGAAGAGGTTAGCGTGAGTACGAGCATGGTGTACTAGCTTATGTCTCGTGTCTTTGATAACTATAAATCTATCAATACGGTGCATCGAATATACGATTGTAAAGATTTAAATTTTGGTATGATATTCGAAACAAGTGGCAGAAAACTTAACGACCTTCGCGTTAATTGTGATTTAAATATAATTTTCTTCGTCACGCATCTCAAAGGCACATTAAGCGGCCAATGATTATTTCGCGGTTAATAGCCGTTAAAACTCTTCAATGTTTTCTTTCTATTTATATTATACTAGCGACCTAGGGATGGGTCGTATCGCTTTTTCTGAGTACCGTATCTGAATCCGATATCGATTTCAAATATCAGATTTCGAAACTATGTATTTTAATATCTAGATATTTTACGGTTCCCTATCCACGTTGATTAATAGAATTCTAAAAAAAAAAAAAAAAAAAAAAAAAAAAAAAAAAAAAAAAAAAAAAAAAAAATTATTAAAAATATAAATGATTTATGATGAAAATGATTTATTTTAACATCTTATATACCGCTTAATAATTGACTTTAACATATAGGCAATATTTTTATTATTTGTGTAAGAAATAATACATTCAGTATTATAGCTTAGGGCGGAAGAATTTAAAATATACACACAAGGCACATAAGCCTTGGTCTGATTTCCACCAAAGCAGCACAGCACTATTAAATTATATTTTTCTTTTTGTGTACTTTTATTTTTTTACAAAAATAGGAATAAAATTCAGCTAATAAAAATATTCACAAAAAATTTACCTCCTAAAAAATTTACATTGTATATTTTTCTTCCTTAATTTAGGCAGAAAATTCTTAAGTAGTAAGTTGGCATCCCTTACTATTACGTGCTAGGTACCAATGCAATCCAGCTCAAGGCTGAACAAAATTTCAAAGACATCGTTAATACCGTAATTCGTATTTAAATGCAACAGAGTTTTTTTCCATGCTGTTAAGATTCAAAATTACTTAACTGCGCGCTTTGTCGCCCGTTACGGCTCAAGGCTAAACAAAACAATAAAAATATAATAATATCGTTGTAGTAATCGCTGATACCAAGATTAGTATTTAAATGAAACGGATCTTATTTGCATGGTATTAAGATTCAAAATTACTTAACTTATTCATAATATCTGTTTAAAAATCTGATATCGTGCATTGCTTACCGTCCCACTCTAACTAGTAAGTGTTTATATCTCACGCGCTTTGTCGCTCGATATCTGATATCGTGCATTGCTTGCCGTCCCACTCTAACTAGTAAGTATTTATATCTCACGCGCTTTGTCGCTCAATATCTGATATCGTGCATTGCTTGCCGTCCCACTCTAACTAGTAAGTGTTTATATCTCACGCGCTTTGTCGCTCGATATCTGATATCGTGCATTGCTTGCCGTCCCACTCTAACTAGTAAGTATTTATATCTCACGCGCGCTTTGTCGCTCAATATCTGATATCGTGCATTGCTTGCTGTCCCACTCTAACTAGTAAGTGTTTATATCTCACGCGCTTTGTCGCTCAATATCTGATATCGTGCATTGCTTGCCGTCCCACTCTAACTAGTAAGTGTTTATATCTCACGCGCTTTGTCGCTCGATATCTGATATCGTGCATTGCTTGCCGTCCCACTCTAACTAGTAAGTGTTTATATCTCACGCGCTTTGTCGCTCGATATCTGATATCGTGCATTGCTTGCCGTCCCACTCTAACTAGTAAGTGTTTATATCTCACGCGCTTTGTCGCTCGATATCTGATATCGTGCATTGCTTTGCTGTCCCACTCTAACTAGTAAGTATTTATATCTCACGCGCTTTGTCGCTCAATATCTGATATCGTGCATTGCTTGCTGTCCCACTCTAACTAGTAAGTGTTTATATCTCACGCGCTTTGTCGCTCAATATCTGATATCGTGCATTGCTTGCCGTCCCACTCTAACTAGTAAGTGTTTATATCTCACGCGCTTTGTCGCTCGATATCTGATATCGTGCATTGCTTGCCGTCCCACTCTAACTAGTAAGTGTTTATATCTCACGCGCTTTGTCGCTCGATATCTGATATCGTGCATTGCTTGCCGTCCCGCTCTAACTAGTGAGTATTTGTATCTCACGCGCTTTGTCTCTCGAAATCTGTTTAAAAATCAGATATTGTGGCAAACGCGTATGATATCGCCGTATCGCGATTCGTGTCGGTATAGCGAGCGAGCACGGTACATCAGATTTCGGAAATATCAGATATTGTAAAATACATAGATATTGAACGAGCCAGTAAGCGATATTGGGATATTGTACTAATATCTAGTTTTCATATCTGATACGATTTGTATCGCCCACTTCTATAGCGACCTAAGGGTATCACCTTTGTACAGAGGAGGCCTTTGTCCCGCTGTGGGACATGTATAGGCTGATACGTTACTTTTTTTTTATAAATAAGTTATTGAATGAATAATGTTACCACGTCGAGCGTTCCGTTCGCAGGAATTGAAGGCGTTGCAGCTGGAGAGCGGGCAGACGATAGCGAAGCTCCGCTCCAGCCTGCAGTCCAGGGAGGAGGAGTTGGCCATCGTCAGGGAGGCCAGCCGAGGGTCCACCACAGACACCAGCGCCCTCAACGTGGCTGACTACGAAGTAGCCCAGGTACACCGGACAGTAACAATCATACCATATCTTTTGTTACGCTCAAGAAGTATAACTTCTTACATGCGTACATAAGTGCACACACACATTATTTTTTTCGTTAATAAGAATGTAATAACGGGTTAAGAATATAATGTCTCTATTAATAGCAGGTGGCAATGGACAAAGAGAGGATGGAGCATCTGACGCAGATGCTAGTGCAGAAACAGGGCAGGATCGAGGCGTTACTAGCAGACAACAACACCCTTAGGATACAGTTGGATAAGTTGCAGGTATAGTATGCTTTGTGTTTATATTGAACTCAGGTTTAAAAATGTGCAGTCAAAAGTAAAAAAATATTATAATAATTAAAAAAAGCTGTCGGAGTGATTTTAACCTTAAGTGTAGATAATAGCACTGATAATTAAAATCTGAAATAACTAGCGGCTCGCCCCGGCTTGGCACGGGTGCAATGTTTTATACATATAAACCTTCCTATTGAATCACTCTATCTAGTGAAAAAAATCCGCATCAAGATCCGTTGTGTAGTTTTACAGATCTAAGTATACATATGGACAGACACACAGCGGGATGACTTTGTTTTATACTATGTAATGATGATAGTAATATAAATATTTCTGGACATCTTTTTAAACAACGTTATCGAGTCTCAAACTAAGCAAAGCTTGTACTATAGGTACTAGGTAACTGATGAACATACTTAAAAGTACTATTCTTTCATAAATAAGATACATAAACACCCAGACACAAGAAAAACACTATGTTCATCACACAACATTTTTCCAGTAGTGGGGATCGAACCCACACCCTCTGGCGCAAGAAATAGGATCGCTATGCACTTCACAATTGGGTCGTCATGTTTAATACTAATTGTTAGCGACTTCTCGTATTCATGAAACAGTCACTAAACAGTCACCTTTCCACAAAGTTATCTATTGGTATTTATAGGGCGAGGAAGGAAATGACCTGGTGGTTCATCTGATGTTAAGGGATTACATGGACATCTTAAATTCCGTTAGTTGTTGGGAATAAAAAAATGCGTCAACTACCTTTAAACGGTACCTCCGTTTTGTTGTATAAGTGGTCACTTCACCAATTACTATTGTCATCCGTTCAGAGTTCGAGGAACAAAAAGAAATGTGCACAAAGCATTATACAATTAAAGAAGAAGAAGCAGAAACGTTTACACTACAAGATGGAAATTAAGCTTTTTAAACAATTACACAACCCATTAAAAACAATTCCCCTTTATGATAACGTTATCCTGTTCTGTAATGACGCTTTACAAACATAAATTTCACGCGGACAAACACCCAGATGCGAAACAGCTGTCTGTGGGTCACACGAATGCTTGTATCGTGCGGTAATAATAAATAATAAATTTTATTTATTTCTATAGTAATAACAGTACAGATCGTTTATACTTAATTGTGGTACGTTACAATAAGAGAGTATGAGGTACACTGTGACTTCCAAATTAGGCAGTAATATAAGTATCTTGGAAGCTGCAGTGCGCTTCATGTAAAACGTTAATTAACAAATGAAAAGAAAAAAAAAACGAAACATACCGTTAGATTTACAGGATAGGTATTATAATAGCGTAGCCTAGCAGGCGTAGCGTAGCAGGTAATCGAAGCCAACACCTTGGCAACAGCGCTACGGGGCGATCAAATACGGGGTCATATTCAAATGGTGCGGTCGCAACGTGTTCCAGTCCAAATATAAGGCGGAGGTGGCGGCCCATAAGGCGGGCAACGCGCACAGCATAGTTCAGTTGCAAGATGGCGACGTCCGCCCGCGCACTCGCGCCAACAACTACTCGCCGGCGAACACGCTCACCAGGATGTCGCTGCGGATGGGCCTCCTCGGCAAACGCTACCCCGTGTTCAGGCTTTTCGTCGTACTCTACATGGTGAGTTGCGTGTGTGCGCGTGTGCTGTGCACACACGGTGGGCCGTTTGTGTGCGTGCAGCTTTAAGTGGACTGAATTTTCTCCCAGTCCTTATGCTACTCATGGCTGGTCCAGAGACGTTGAGCCACGTCCGCGGCACGTGTGAAGTTTATTTAAATGCCTTTTTTGTAAGTAAAAACAGGCACGTAGGAAATTTAACTTAATACAACATTTTCGGAACTAAAAAGTCGTTCTTAGTTTGAACATTTTTCCATACTTTGAGTGTATTGAGAAAATAGTAATAATAAGAAAAAATAAATATATATTTTTTTAAGGGAAATAATAGTCATAGAAATGTGTACAAAAACTGGGAAAGTACACTTCAATAATAATGTAAATAAATACAATGGCAAAACGACTGCATGGCATAAGTACTGTTAAAATATAAATTATATAATTTATAATTTAGTAGTAGATATATATAGTTTATAATTTATAATACGTACGTATAGCATTTAGCGACAGAATAAAATCTGCACGCCAAACTCTCCTCTTAAATTGGATCAACCATGTTTTAAACTGCTACATACATTAACATCATGTTTTTATAATTGATGGGAAAGTCGGTTCCGCGATGTTAAGTCGCCGGTTCGAATCTCAGTGGCGTGTACCAAATAATTTTCGCCTCTCAGGATTATTAACAAAAGCCGGCGTGATATTTGTATCAGGTGTATAGGGACAAGGGCACTATCACGTTTGTAAATGGATGAGCTTGGTATTAGCTGAAATCATTGGCCATCGCTGCCTATCCCGTAGAGGTTAAATTGCGCGAAGGCTTTATTTCATTTCGCGGTCTGCGCACTAGCTAAGTTGTGGGTTCGATTCCCACCTGGAACAATGTAGGTGTACTTCAGTGAGTCGTATATGTAATGTCTCTATAATTTGAGGATTATGTTATCCCACGTTTGGTTTCAGTATCATGAATTAAACAATAATATTAGTTTAGATCAACAAACAGAAAAGTGGGATATTTTAATTATTTAATGTGCTCAAAATTGGACAACAGAAGCCTTTGCCAGAAATGGGAAGAATGGCGTGGCATGTTGGAAGATATACCGAAGCAAGCGCCGACGAGCAACACCTAATGTATACTATAACGATTTTATATGCAATATAAGTATTTTCAAAAGTTTCAATTTGTTTGAAATATCATGTCTCTATGAGACATAAAAACAAAACGAGTTTGGCACGTATTTTTATATAATTTTGACATCTATTTTTATGTAGTTTTGACATCTATTTTTATGTAATTTTAACAACTTTGTTTATATAATTATGATAGCTATTTTCGTATATTTTCTTTTTCTTCCAGATCGGTTTACATTTGTGGGTGTTCACCGTCTTACTCTCAAGCACTCCTGAAGACTATGTCAGGCCTAGCAAAACTTAGCTCATTTGTCCAGCTAATTTATATTGTACGATATTAAAACTGCAATAAATCGAAGCGACCAATCGGTTCCATCTTGTATATTATTAGATATTAAATTTGACACGGGATATATGAGGTCATCGTTACTATTATTTGTTATTTAGAAGGTATGTAATATATGAACATCTGATTCGAGTAACCATATTTATATTACCAACCAGTTATGTAATAACGTGTTACCGACTTGTTGGCAGTCCTTTTATTGGAATTTATTTAAATTTCTAATGGAATTATCTCACGAATTAGAAGTTATTATGAATTGTTGCCATAAAGGGAAATTGATAAGTTTGTATTTCATAAAATGTTCATAAAATAAACTTTTTTGGGACGGACTTGGAGTTTACGCGTGACTTTTAAACATAACACCAATCACAAGTTGCAATTTATTGTCATTTATTGTAATTATTGTTGAGATCATTACGCCTAATAAAAAAAAATGTCGATTATGCCTTATAATCATACTAAGTAAATAAAGGAAAACGCATTCCAGATAAAATCGGCAAATAGAGGTTTAAAAAATAAACAAAATTTTTGCTGTATCGATAGAATTATGTACCTATATGTTAATGAACATTAAAAGCTTGACAATACACTCTTAATTTACCTTCAAATTTATAGGTATATTTTTTTAAATATCACATTTGTTATATAGAGTATCTTGATATCTATTGTTATATAAGATATCATATTAAATGTAATATATGACGAAATTATTGATTGAGGCATATGAACCGTTTCTCAAGAAATGTAGTGATTTCTTTGTTTAAAGAATGTAATGTTTTGTTTTATGTAAAGTCTTTCTGTGTGCGATTTTCGACGTGGTCAGTGAAAGATGTAGTAATAAATTATAATATTTTATTTTGTAAATTGTACCTCGAAGAATTAAGATAATATTTGATGTATAGTGTATTATACTAAACCTGTATTTAAACGAAAATCATTTACGATGGTCTGGCCGAATAAATTTTAATGTATAAGATATGTATTTTTATTATTTAGTATCTTCCTTTCATTCATCCCTAAAAGCAATGAAGTGACGTTGACCTGTAAATGGTTAGACTGATAGAACTTGGGTTAATATTATTTTATGACGGTGGTAAACAACTGGGCGGTTCACCTGATATTAAGTTAATTCTAAAATTACTAGTACCCCTTGTTGATTCCTAAACTTAGATGGCTAAATGAAATTGGAAAAAACAAATAAGAAAATACATTTAATTTTTTTTAACAATAACAGTCCTATGTCTTTTTTAATACCTCTAAGAATTTTGCGGAACTTTGATATTTTTTGTACACAAAGTTTCATGATAATCGGTTGAGAAGGTTAAGTGTGAAAGCGTAACAAACAAACTTACACCCACATTTATAATATTAGTAGGGATATACGGTTTCGGTTCGGCAAGGCAATATTAGGATGTTCGTGTCGGTTCGATACAATTCGACACTCAAAAGTTGGCAGTTATTAGATTGATGGGCATAAGCCGGTTACTGACTCTGTTAGCCGCACACTATATTTCCTGTCTTAATGCCGACCCGGACAAGTGTGTAGCACGCCTTACGCCTGTCTTTCGTGAGGCTGTGGCACTTCCCCGGACGAGCTAAGTTGTTGTGGTCACAGCTTATATTAAGTTACATATTCTTATATACGCACTCGGGCATCATTAACAGGACAATTCAAAGTGAGAAATAATGCAGTCCTCTTTTAAAACACTGGTCAGTACCTTTTTTTTAACGTGCGGAAATCCATTATGGCGTCTCCAGTTAATGCAGAACCAAGTTATGTAGGCTCACACAGACTAAAACCCCACGGTGGTCGCCATCTGCTCTGATGAGGATCACGGGATCTCCATTCGGAATACTATCGCGATCCTTTCTTACCTTGCCTATGATAGCCTTGTTGGGAGACGGCATCCCCGCGGTGGAGCCTACTTAAAGCCATCGCTCACCTTTAGTGGGGCCTTACTAGGCAATTAAGGGCTTCGCTCCAATCGCCCATGACCCCTGAGGACCTGTTTATGATTGGGGAGCACCATTGCTGTCTGGAAGGCCGTGACGGGGCGCATGGACGCGTAGGCAGCCCCGTCTCCGAGGGATCGGTTCACACTGGTCAGTATTAATTTTTTATCATAGATCTAATTCAAAAATATAAAATTTTGTCATTTTTTCATTCGTTTTTTGTTACACTAATACGAGTACAAGTTTATTGAGTGTTTTGATTTTGCATTCGATTTACATTTTAATTAATAAAGTGTAGTTTTACCTGTGTGTGTAGTACACACTGTATACCTACAGTTCTCATAAGATTTGAACATGTTGGTATAAGTTGGTTGTACCTGCAAAAATACCAAAATTTGGGAGACATTACCGCACAATCCCGTTGAATTTTGCACGAGAACATTGTCTTTGGGACTTGCACTAGTGGAGACAGGTTCTCTTTTTTCATGAATGCAGAATTGACTTAAATCAGGTTGATGTAGTACTAACTAACGTTAAAAGCTTTCTTTTTAATTTTCAACACTTTTGAAGTTAAAAAAGATCTATTAAACTACTATGTGCTTCATCAGTCAAAATCTATAAAAGTCCAAAGGATGATAAGGTTAAATTCGACTCTTATTATAAATCCAATACATACCAAAGAGATAGAATTGCAAATTGCCTATTATTAAGCCTTAATTCAACAATCCAGAATCTATCGAAACCGCGACATTAAAAGAACAAAGCAATTAAAAGAACTTCGCTGGTTACTTGGTAAAGGTCACCGTGGCGAGGTCCAAACTATGACCCATCTGCTGCAATGCCTATTGTGTCCTTCCTCCTGCACCTACGAAGACCTGCTTGAAGTCAATTCTGCTGCGGTGGTGTGGCCAAATAATGGTCGAACAAGATTTTAGTAGCTATTTTGACTCGAAAAGAAGAAGACTTGGTAAATGATCACGGAAACGTGTTGTTACTATTAGTAATACGAAATAAGTGTTGTAAAAGCTAGTAAGGCAGCAAGCATAGAATGAAATAAGCATAGGAAGATGGAGTGGGGATCGAAATCAATAGAAAGAAATAATAAAAGAATAGAATAGAGTGATATGTTGTTCTAGACACTGCTTTAAGGAAAATAGTTGTGAAAGTATAAAAACTGCAAATTGGAAATCTAAACATCTGCCTGACTATTTTCTGTATATATCACCTTTGGGAGATAACTTTTAACAATGTGACAGTAAAGCGGGCGTAAAGCATAGAATTGGAACATAAATTAGGTTCAAAAATATGATCTGATGGTACTGGCAGTTTAGTAGAATTGATCAGAAAAGATTTGGCGTTTGCATATCAAAGTTTGCACTGGTCGAGTAATTAAACCGGTTATGATGAAACCTTCCTGTATTCAAGAACACTAAATATAACATCATCTTAGTGTAGTTTCGTCCACCGCCCGGTAAACACGTCTCCGCCGCGGCGATGTATTTTAAATAAAAGAAAAACTTGTGATTGATTTTGACGAGACTGAATTCGGTGCCTAGTTACAAAGTTTTACTAATGCCTACGTGAATCGATCGACTAAAACAGTTTATCGAATACCCTTGAAATCGGGTTTTTTCTATTGTAGGTTTTTCCTCGTTAAGTGTTCGCAAGATGAGTTTGGTGTTGTATCTTGCGCTTTTTTTAGGTGAGTCTTTTTAATTAATTGTTTTCGTTCACATTGAATAGATAATACGACGGAAAAAATTTAAAAATTATTTCATCGTACCTTATTATCACTTCATATGTTAGAGATACATTTTTCAATGTGGATGTAAGGCACATTATTTCCATTTGAAGTTTCTAACGTAACTAGCTCATCTTAAATCTATTTCTACTTATATTTTTGAAATATTTTCAATGTTCAGACAATTAAGCATTAAAAATAAGTGCATAAACAAGTTCCTTTCGAAAAAATACCGTATGCACTTACATTTTTTTTACTATTCTTGCACGTACAATAATTTGCAGTAACAATTGTTAAGGCGGCACACTAAGTATTATAATAATTTGTTGGACCTGCAAAAATATAGTAGAAGAAATTTATTGCTGATTTCGCAACCGTTTGATAAACTTTGACCCTAAAAACAATCTGATCTTGCGTAAAGCCGTTATTATATATTTAATGGGATAAAATAATAATACACCATGAGTTCGAATAATACACCAAGAATCACTTCTTCCACTGCCTTGTCTGTTCCGACTATCCCATTTCTGGGAGATGAGCAGCTGAGCTCATCAATTTTTAAATAAATCATTACTTGTTTTGCTTGATATGGTTTCATAAAGAAATAATTTTGCCTTTCATTTTTATTTTAGAGATACAGAACGAAAATGTAAATAATATGTAATCATCAAATAAATATTTCACTTTAATATTAACAGTAATCGAGCTTAAAATATCACAACATCGATCAAATACAACGCTGTTATTTTTTTTTTAATTAAATCAATTTTGATAATCGAAAACTGGGATAACTGGTTTGCAAAGAAAAATGAGCCTGACTAAGGTTTCGGAGCACGTCATACTTATGACGCAGATTTAGCATAATTAAGCGTGGTTTTCTATTTTGAGATTATTTATTTCTAGAATTTTGTAACTTTCGTTCCTCTTTTGTTATTCACTTCGTTTTGAATATATAACAAATTTTTAACGCAGTAAAAATAATTCAACCAGCTCTTCATTGCTCACTTAAATGTGTCATTATTTCCATGTAACGTTTTCCTTACAAATCAAAATTGCATCCTATCAATTCCGAAGGAAAAGCCGCCAATGTTGACACATTTGTGTGACGTAATTATGTTGATTGGCATTTTACTTTAAAATATTACAAATGCTATATGTGCGTCGTTTATGTCCCTTCTTAATATTTATATTTCCTAAATCCTAACACGGAAAATGTAAGCTTGGTATGCGGCAAGTTGAGTTGTTGTATAAGAAAGCTCCAACTGTGCCTCACGATGTAGTTATTAATTATATAAACTGTTTGTTATTAATATAAATCACGTAGATATCATGTTTTGCGTCATCGGATTCTACAAATTTGTGATTTATGTCACTGGTTTTACAGTTCACAATGTTATGAGTAAATATCGGGGAAAACCGACACAGATTATGGCTTCACACGCTCAACTGGTTAAACCATTGATAAAATATCCTACCATTTTAATAGTGCAATTTTTGTATCATCTTTACAAATAGAGGTATAGTTAGGTATGTTTATTAGCTTGACGCATTTTCTACTTCTTATGTAATTTAAAACATGCGGAGTGCATGATACATATATACGCAACGGTTGAGTCCTACTGTGATGTGAACCCGGTATTCAAGTTAATAAGATTCAGACGAAGACTGAAGACTTCAATTCGAATTTATTCACGTAAATATATATTTCGGTAGGCCCGATGTTTGCTAACAAAAGTTATCCTTTCCTTTCCTAAACATTTCTCTAAAGATTGGGGTAAGCTTTTTTTTGTTCGAAAAATATATAGTATTGAACACCTCTGAGTTCTCTGTCAGGTATTACAGATGTGAGACATATTCGAACAGAACGTTCGTGCTTGATGAAATGAAAATAAATATGCAGTTGTAATATAATAAGGTGAATCCATCAATTATTAAGCTTGTAAGTTGTTAACATTTATGGCAAAAATAAGTCGTTAATTTAAAAGGCTTGAAAAAGCTGTTATGATTTTAGCTGTAGCCGAAAATTTTTGTTACGATTTTAGACAAAAACTGTAACCGAATCCTCGTTTACTTTAGCAGTTTTGGCTTAAAGCTGGTTTAATTCAACACTTAGTCTTATGTGAGAAGGTGGCAAACAAGCTTGCGGTTCACCGGATGTTAAGTGATAACCGCCTATGACATTTGCAACACCCATAGGGTTGCAGATGCGTTGCCACCTTTTAATAAAGTGTGCCCTGGCTATCTCACTCACCACTCATCAGACGAAACGCATAAGTATAGCACTTTTACTTAATGTCGCCTGTTTCTGAGTTCGTGGTACTAACCTGGACGGACCTGCTCATTCGTGCAATAGAGAAGACTGTTGAGGGGCCCTACCAAAGGTTTTTACTCGAAGGAAGGAATGGCAATGACAGAATGACCAGTCATTAATGGCTTAAATAGAATGCAACCCGAAAAGATACTCAAGGTAACGAAAAAACCACGTATATTCAAATTATCGAGCATGAATTTTTTCATATAGACTATGCCTAGGTTTTATTACGACCACCCCATCATTGGGAATATACTCTCAGATACGGAACGATTATCTGTTTGTCGCACAAACACTTGTCCCATGTGGGAATCGGTTCTATGACCGGCGCCGAAGGCAGTACTTAGCAATTGTGCCACCAAGTCCTTCAGTTACTATGAGATGAACCGCCTACTCGTTTGTCACTTTTTCAAAAATATTGTTATATATCATCAATTATCAATATTTACATTAGATGATAATGTTAATGTTTAATTAAGATAACCAATTGCAAGAATACAGATTCAAGAATCTCATATTACACACAAAATATTCTTCACCAGTAATTACGATGAAGCTATAATTATTATTTTCTTTTATTTGAAATTTAGAATCAATCATCGACTATATTAATTATTATTGGAAGACGTTTTTAGTTCGAATATTAAAATTATTGTTGAATGAAATTTCCAGTTAGACAACTCGTCGTTATCTATATAGATTATTATTAATGAAATAAACATTAATAAGAGCACATCGACTAACGTGAGGTCAATTAAAGGTTGTTTAGTGCGATACTGCGAAGAGAGAGAAAATAACAATATTTTAAAACCACAAGCTTACTCGCCCCGGAATCGCTCTTGCTAGTATTCCATACGAAATTGGGATCCTATAAAATATAAATATAGGTTTTTTTCTTTTGAAATTCTTCTTCCTTCCGTCCTGCCTGTTGTTCCTTTCTTCCTTCATGTTCTTTTCTAGTAGTTAGAGAGCAGCTGATTAACATGCTTTTAGTATGTAGAATGTTTATGAGCTGCTGCCCGCAACTACGTCTGCGTAGAATAGGCTGTAGGCGTAACATTCAGACAGAAAGAGAGATATACATAAAATATGTATATAATTTATAGCCTATGTCTTAAGCTGATGTAAAAGCTATATTATTGTAGTTTCATTAAAATCCATTCAGTAGTATTTACGTGAAAGAGTAACAAACATCCATCTATACATGAAAATGTGTGATCGTGAGTCGCTAAACATTATCCTACGCGATCAAGTTTTGTTTATTGTATAGTAAACATATCTGGATATGGATCAAATCTTAAATTTAGAACTGTTCTTAAGTTAACTGTTTCTTTAGATTTATAAGCCAGTTGCACTAAATGTTAATATGCAAGCAAGTAGTACGGAACTGATTTTGCAGAAGGTAAAGTCTAAAGTCAGCCTAAAGAGACATCGCACATAATTTTTGATAAAACGAAATTGCACAAGGTGAACTTATTTTGCCTCAATTAGAGAATTTCTATCTGGCAATTTGGGGAAAAAGACGGTTGCTGTTATATCTTATATTTATATGAACACCAGTTACCTTGTCAAAACGAAAACTCGCTACATACACACATAGGAGCTGGAGGTTCAGGATTGGAGTGAAACGCCGGTCGTTTAAATATTTACTTTATTGCCAACAAAGATGGGCACAGCGGACCTCTCAATAGCGTTCTTGTCCTTACTAGTACTACCGGTGCGGCGACTCTCCCGTTCCGCACCAATCTTACAGCGACACGACTGCCGGTGCGCTCTCTCTCGCACCAATCTCCACGTACGCGTCCCCTGGTGTATCCATGCACACGTTACCGCACCAACTCACGCCTACGACTTCACACGAATAGTCAGTTCGCGTCACTGTTCAGTACTATATTGTCTACTATACTGTTCACTCACTTTTACTTCACTTTTCACTTTCTTCTTCCTGTTCCTTCTTCCTCGAGTTCCTCCACTGACCTGCCATCTAAGGCGCTCCGAGTACCTTTTATTGTCGGAATTTTGATCGTTTTGCAAATAAAGTTCTGGAATTCGAACCTTCTTTCAAATTATAATTATATTTTTAATAATTTGGAAGTAAACAATAGTTAGTAAACATCCTATACGTCATTCCAAACTGTCATCAACGGATCGTTGACATTTAAGACGTCATCAACCCCGTGGTCGTAACAATACATACAGGCGGTCATTTTTCAACTAACAATAATTATTATGTCAGTAAATGTGTCACTTAATCTGACGATCCTGGTCGGAGTATTAGGATTTTTTTAATTATTATATTGTCGGCTCTTAATACGTGATGCGCACACTCTTAACGCAACTTTATAATCTGAAATTTGTTGAAAATTACGTTGAAATATTCCATGAAATTGTTACGTAGGTATACACTAAATACAGGTTAAGCCTGTTGTGGGTATTTGGGATTTTCATTATATCTACACTGTGGTAGGGCCACGCAGCAGCCTCGGCTAGTGCTCGAATGGGCAGGCTCGTCCGGGTAAGTACCACGACCCCACAGAAGACCGGCGTGAAGTGGAAGTATAATACTTTCGTTTTTCGTCTGGTGGGTGAGGTAGACGGAGGCCAATTTTCAAAAAATTGTCAACGCATCTGCAACCCTCGAGTGTAGCAGATATCCATGGGCGGCTGCTACCTGAATTCAGTGGACTCGAAATTCTTTTTAGATAACTTGTACTACGGTTTGTCTAATTATTACGGACCTACAGGGTTTGTATTTACTTTAGATTGTATTTACTTTAGACGTAATCAATTCACTTCAATATTAAGTTCAACTAGCTAAAAAAGAAACTCAAATCTGAATAAAACATAATTAAAAATATGATGAAAAATTATGCCTTAATCGTTCTCGTTTTGTTTTATCAAAACCACTTACGTAGAAGGAAAAATAAAAAAATCTTGTTTTCAACTAATAATAACTTTAACGGTATGATTTTATCCGCATGTTTTTATGTTTATATAAAATTATGAATCAAAAACCGCCAAGTGCGAGTCGGACTCACGCACGAATATTACCCTTATCTAGAAAACGGCAAAAAAATCATGTCTGTTGTATGGGAGGCACAATTAAAAATAATTTTAATCTGATTTTTAGTATTTGTTATTATAGCAGCTACAGAAATCATCATGTGTGAAAATTTCAACTATCTTACTATCACGCACGGTTCATGAGATACAGCCTGGTGACAGACGAACAGATGGACAGACAGAGAGACAGCACAGTTTGAGTAATAGGGTCCTTTTATCATTTTGGTACAGAACCCTAAAAACGGAAAATTTTAAAAACAGATAATGGAAACAGATAATTTTAGAATCAAAACAAACAATATGCTAAAACAAATATTTCCATTTAGGTTTGGTGTTTTTCTAGTTAAGTTCGTGACGGCTATATAATTTAATAATTTTGATATAATTTAATTTTTTCAACACCAAGGGGCGTTGGAGAATTTTTGTTAGTTGAAGATGTTATGGCTCCGCGTCAATGACATACAAATGTTAACAGCATATCAGCGTAGCTATAAGAACTATGACGTTATGCACTTGGCTATTATAGAAAGCATATTTTGCAATGGGGGCACGCGGCCGATATAGAAACAATTTTATTTTGCAAAAAAGGGCCATAAGAGCTATTTATAATCTAGAGTTGAATGCATCTTTGAGAGAGAAGTTTAAAGAAATAAATATATTAACCTTAGCCTCTCAATATATACAGCGTGTCGTTACCATCGCGACAATAAATGAACACACGTCTAACGCTACTTGCCAATAATCATATAAAATATTAACGTTAAAAAATATCCATAATTAAAAAAAATATTTTTCAAACAAACTAATTAAGTAAAAAAGAAACAAAATTTTTAACATCCTATACAGCTACAACTGACTGATTCATACATTCAGAGACTATTTAATTCGTTTCGTTTATACGTAAGGGTGTTTTAAAATTCTTTGTTTTGGAAAATTTAATAACTCTGTAAATATTGATGTTTAAAGAATGTAAATTTTTGATACAATTTTAAAAGTTATCCTCTATATGTGTGTACATTTATTGTCGCGTTGGTAACGACACGCTGTATATGAAAATGTTATGTATGCGCGTAGAAATATGAATAATTTTGATAAGAATATTGATGTACATAATGTGAACACTAGGAACAAATACAAGCTTGTAACGCCAGTTACTAGACTCCATAGAGTAAGTAACTCGTTCATGGGGCGGTGTATACGCTTTAACAACAAAATACCAGTAAATGCGCAAAACCTGCCTATTAACAGGTTTAAGAAATTTATTAAAAACTTTATAAAAAGGGTTATTATAATACAAATGAATACATTAATGACAATAACCCCTGGGAATGAGTTGATCGCTCCCAAGCTATTTCTAAAAGGAAAAAAAATCGGTTGTATAGTATTTTAATTTTTTTTTAAGAAAAAAAATTAATTACAAAAAAGAGGATACCTACGGAGTTTCTTTCGCCTGTTTCTTCTCCGCTAGAGGAACCTCATTACGAAACGGTGGTAGATTTTATGACTATCGATAGATGAAATGTAAGTTTCTTATGTCGATGAATAAATGATTTTTATTTTTGATTTTTGATTTTGAAGTGCTCTTAATATTAAAAACAGGATGTACAATAATGAAAAATTTTGATTTAAAAATTGTTTTGGTACTAAGATTAATTTGACAGTTCAAAAACACCCTGTTATTTCACAATTTCAAATCTTCACCTCTCTTGGCAGTCCCCCTGATTAATTATGTTTTATTACGTAACAAAATTTTTACAAGATAAATTTCCATTGCATCATCATCTATACCACTAGAGAACTTACAGAACATTTTTTACAAAAGAATTTAGTCTCGCAACATGAGCTACCAAATAATTTCTATATGCCTTAATCTTTGCAAGGTTCGACATTATAATATAATTTGCATCTAATCTAATTATTTTACAACTTATATTTGACAGAGAAACTCAGCTTTTTAACATTATCACATAATTAAATTAATGTTAGATAATGAGTAAAAATAATTGATTGTTATTTAAAGAGAATATATAAGTGACGAGGTTATTTTTGTTTTATATAAAATTTTCTCACGAAAAAAATATAGTTCTTCAGGTTAACTCGTAAATGTTAAATTAATAAAAATATACTGCACGTTCCTAAAGTGACTCGGACCAGGCCTGGTAGATTCTTATGTGGTTTTCCTTATCGCTTTTGGGTTTTTGCGTTTACAAAATCAAAGGCACGGTAGGCACACTACGTAGAAACGTTAGAAACTGTTTATTTGTTACCTTGCCAATAACTTAGGATTCTTTTACTACCGCAAATACATTTATATTTTTATTCTGTTCCGTTCCAGGTCTTTCCACACAACTTGTAAAAGGCGAGACCCATTTGACAACCGACATCATTCGGGAAGTTTTCGGCGATGGTACAATCCAGAAGGTTGAAGGCCAGGTGGCTGCGATCACACCAGCAAATGCCACTTTCGTGGACACTGACTATTCGGAGCCTATGGACAATTATTACCCGGCGTCAGCTGATTATGACAGGTTCGATTGGACACTCACTAAGGTAATTATTGGCATATTATTCTAAAACTGGACGTTGACACATATTTATCTACGAACTTTGTAATTGTTGCTTATCTTATATATTTAAATATTGCTACACTTGCTTACTGGGTTTATTTATTTATTTATTTATTTATTTGTGAGAAGGTGGCAAGCGAGCTGGCGGTTCACCTGATTAAATGATAACCGTCGCCCATGGACATTTGCAACACACGTAGGGTTTCTGATGTGTTGCCATCTTTTAATAAGGTGGGCCCCGGCTACCTTACTCACCAAACGAATCGCAGAATTATAGCACTTCCACTTCACACCGGGCTTACCCGGACGTACGGACGTACGTACCCTATTCGTGCAATAGCAAGAAGCTGTTGCATGGCCCGACCACAATTACTTTCAAATTATTATTTTACAACTAATATTTTTTTAAGAGACATAAATGTGAGTTTAATAGATAAATCAGCATCAGAGGCAGCTGAAATAAATGCTGTGCTAAATATGAGTCTCCTTGCGTATATTATATATTTGTTTCATTTGCTGTAGAATACTTTGGATCCGTGGGGTCCACATACATCAAGTTTTGTAAAATAAATATGGTCTCGTCTTGTTGCTTTCAAAGTTTCAAGTATAACTATTGAGTTAAATAAAATGAAATAAAATGAATAAAATGAAATGTTGTTTAAAATTAAAATTTCTCGCGTGGTATTATTTTAATGCTATCTGTATTAAACATTTTTTAAGTATAAAATCGGCAGGAGCCAGGGGACTCGCAAGTTCAGAGCAATAGTCATTTCCACACATCCTTGTTCTCAATGTATTCTTCGACATTATTATAGGTCGTTTTCGTTAGGAAATTGTAGAATAGCATACGGTTTTTCGATTCTCATTTACTATTCACGTAAGCTTCTAAACGTTGTGTGACGAATTTGATATCCCGTCATAAGAACGAATACGATCTTTCCTTTTCAGCGAGTAGCGGCATCTTCGGAGGAGAACTTTTTGCTGTCTCCATTGGGACTGAAATTGGCATTGGCTATATTGACAGAAGCGGCGACGGGTGCAACGCAGTCGGAGTTGTCTTCCGTCCTTGGATTTGACCTTGACAAAGCTCTTGTCAGAAAGAAATTCGCCGGAATACTAGATTCGTTACAGGTTAGTCATAAACCTTGTTGATTATAAACTTTTTTGATTTCTTCCTTTCAAACACAGTTATACTCTGTTTTTTCAATGTCGCGACTTATTTACTTTAGATTTTACTTAAAATGAAATTCGAACAAAACTGCTGATAGCAAACAAGGAAAATTGAGGCTCATGGGAAACTTTTGATAAATTCTAATCGCAGTCATTAAAACACGTTTAAGGTCCTTTACTATTTTATCACCTGTGTCATTACCCGTTACTTGCTCTCAACCACCAAAGGTTAACACAAAGGTTGGAAGAAAATGCTATTTAGCATTAAGTTCGCCTTTGTACAAACTTTTGGTGCAATAAGAAATTTTCAATCAATCGATTACCTGTATTTTCTTTATTCTGTATTATTTACCTTGAATTCAGTCATTATTAAACTTGGAACTTAAAAAAATTTCTTTATTCAAATCTCAATTTACTTAGCAAAATTTCAGTAGTACAGTAATCAAGAAATTGCAAAACGCAATGCGAAATTTAAGCAAGTTGCTGTACTAAAGTAATTAAAATATTAACGAGAATATAATTTTCCGATTTTATTACATGAAACCGGTCAGGTAACGAGAGAAAAATAAAAGTTGCCGTAAGCGATTGTCATGTTATTAGTAAAAGTTGGTTGATTTTGACTAGTATTTTTATATACGACTAAACTGGTCAATTAACAATCCTTGTAACTGTAAGCTAAAAATGGTATTAAAATGAAGCCTTTTCTTAAACAGGTGTTCCCCGTTGAACCTGTGAGAAACAAAAGAACAATTAGTAGTAAAGATTAGCAAGTATTTTTCTCTTCTCAATCGAAATAAGTTACTGAGTGACGTCAATTAATATTAGTCATCATTTTTTCAGTCTGTTTGAGTCCACTGCTTAACATAGGCCTCCTGCATCCATAGGCGGCAAATTTGCACAGGTCGTCACTCCATCTAGTGGGGAGTCGTTTTGCACTGCGGCTGATTTTAGTTGTATTATATCAATGCTGTCTCTTTCTCCCTAACAGACGAAATCATCGAAGTACATACTAAACTTGGGCAGCAGAATTTACATCGGTGACAATGGTCAGCCGCGGCAGCGCTTCGCAGCGATCGCGCAGAATTACTACAAGACCGAGTTGCTGAATATAGACTTTGATAAACCAGTAGATGCGGCAAACTCAATAAACGCTTGGGTCTCGAACATCACCCAAGGACGGATACCGAGTCTGGTGAACTCAGGTCCGTTTGATTTCGATTCTATACAATTTAGTCGGCTCATTACGGTTTACGGATATGTGAAACTGTATGTTGATGGATGCGAATTCCAAAATGACGTTCGTTATAGCGTACTAAGGGGGAGGCCTGTGTTCAACAGTGAACGCTTTACGGCTGATGATGATGATTTATGACGAGTGAATTCCCCAATTCCAAACGCTACTTTCTAAGGGGGATAACGCCGTCGTGTGTTGTGCTTTTTGTTTAATGAGATTACACGGATATGACCACAATTTTTTTGTATGTATTAATACATACATAATCCCTTAGTCACAAAGATTTGACATAAAGAACTTTTGTTTATATTAACTGCATAATGGTAACACAGTGTCCACTAAGCTTAGCTTATATGATGTACCTCTTACAGCGCTGAAATTAGCTATATCTTAAACAAGCGGCTGCCCGCGACTACGTCTGCGTAGAATAGGCTGAAGGCGTAACATTCAGACAGAAAGACAGATATACATAAAACATGTATATAAGTTATAGCCTATGTCTTATTCTGATGTATAAGCTATATTATTGTAGTTTCATTAAAATCCATTCAGTAGTATTTGCGTGAAAGGGTAATAAACGTGCATCCATACATACAAACTTTCGCGTTTATAATATTAGTAAGGATTTCCTATTAGATTTGACAATCTTCATTGTTTGTAATCTTTATCACGTAACCGTACCTTGTAATCCATATATCGCGAGCAGCATTGCATTTGATGCAATTTTATTATGCATGATATGGGGCTGGGAGTGAGACTTTTTAAGTGGTTAATGACTTATGTTTTCTTTTGCTCAGGTGACGTGTCAGGCGTGGCCGTGTTGATATTAACAACACTTTACTTCAAAGGAACTTGGTTACACCAGTTCGCGCCGAACGCTACGCATCCCTCCGCGTTCTACGTGACATCTAAAGCCACCAAGGATGTCCAATTTATGAACGTCAGAAACAAGTTTTATTATGCGGAGTCTGCGAGGTTCGATGCAAAGATACTGAGGATGCCCTATTTGGTAGCTGGCTTTTTGTGTTTGAATTCGATTCAATCATTTTGAGATTCAATATATAGAATAATTGAATCACATGTATCTTGAAGTAATTTAAAATAAATTTTTACGGTGGTAGGGCCACGCAGCAGCCTCGGCTGTTGCACGAATGGGCAGGCCCGTCCGGGTAAGTACCACGACCTCACAGAAGACCAGCGTAAAGTGGAAGTATGACAAATACTTTCGCGTTTCGTCTGGTGAGTGAGGTGGCCGGAGCCCAATTTTCAAAAGGTTGTCAACACATCTGTAACCCTCGGGTGTAGCAGATGTCCATGGGCGGCGGTATTCACTTACCATCAGGTGAACCGTCTGCTCGTTTGGCAACTTTTCACATAAAAAAAAAAAATCTTGAAGTAAAGTTTCTCTGTACTATATGCTTCTCTCTCGATTCAACCTTGACGAGTTAGAGAAAGTTAGCTTGAACTATTCAACTATCTATTTCGGGACTACGAATGAGATATATTGCCTACTTTTTGACTGTTAAGATTAATAGAGAGCGTATGCCAATTTTAAAATCGACCGGGAAGGCTAGATCATAACAGGAACCCATGAGTGGGGTTTATAATCCCTCTAAAAGATTTACGGACACAATATTGTAACTGATAGTTATGTCGATCGTTCGAGTAATAAAGGTTGGTACCACAATGTGTCAACCTTTTGCGTACGAGCCCATGATGTAATTACTTACCTACGGTTCTAAATAATTGTTTACACATCCTTACCATTTACAACAATGTGTGACGGAGGGACATATTTCTGTGAAAGTGTATTATGCAAAATACTTGGAATAAGTAATAAACAATTCCATATTCCACAGTTGATGGAGGAGAAAAAATTGTGAGAGAAATATACGATAGAATAACAGTACTGAGGAGGTATTTCAATAACAAAGTAACCCTCTATTTATATAGCACATGTCTCTTATGGCCGACGGAGCAGGCAGAAAGGCTGATCATAATCAATTATCATTGCATTCCTTGACTTCAAAAACCTGTTGGCGAACGTCGTCTGATAGTCCCAGGCAAAAAGTGGAACTATCCTACAACGGTGTTTGCCGTTATAATTACGTCTGTGTCACTAACTAAGATCTTGTTTCGTAATTTACTAAGTCACCGTAGCCACAGACTTACATACCTATATTTATACTGAACTAAAATTTCCGATATAAGACTATGGTAAATATTAATTTACGAAGTAAAGTTTATAATTTGGCGGTCAACGAGTTTGATAGATTTTAAAATGCCGAATACGATCAATGTGTTCTTAATGTACTAAATCTAAAAAAATGTTAAGATTTATTAATAAAAAATTGGTTTTATATGACATAACATTTATCCTACAAAACAAGATAACCAACAAATTTTAAGTTTTTATACTTTCCTATGATATATAGTACCTATATCTTTATTATAAAATGTAACTTTAATATTATTTTATAGGTTATTCATCGTCTCACCAATTCCTAGGCTAGGTTTACCAGTTAAAGTATTATTATGCTCGTAATTGTAAATGTTTTATAGTAAATACAATAGTTCAATTCACCCGTTCCAGGGCGATAAATTCGCAATGTACCTCGTTGTTCCAAACACGCTGACCGGGCTGTCGCGAGTTTACAACAATCTGAGCGAGCTCCGAGCGGAGTTGCATCGTCTGCAGCGGCATTTGGTCGACGTGTCCCTCCCAAAGTTCAACTTCGACTACACCTCAGTCTTAGACGGCGTTCTGAAGGAGGTAGGCGAACTTCGTAAGAGTAAATAAAAAAATATTTCAAGACATGTTACACAACGCTATAGTCCCAAACTAAGCAAAGCTTGCATATACTGGTAACTGATAAACATCATCATCATCATCATTTCAGCCTGTTTGAGTCCACTGCTGAACATAGGCCTCCCCCATAGACTGCCACGAAGTACGATCCTGAGCCACCTGCATGCATCGATTTCCCGCACATTTGCACAGGTCGTCACTCCATCTAGTGGGGGGTCGTCTGATAAACATACTTAAACCTATTTTTTTTAAATGAATATATTAAATGTCTCTGGTTTTATTTATTATATAGGTGGAATTAGTATCTGGTTGTTTATATATAAAAATATATAAACAACCAGACACTAGAATAACACTATATTCATCACGGAACAGTTTTTTCAGTAGTGAGAATCGAACCCACACCTTCTAGCGCAAGAAACAATCTCCATTATACCAATCAGGTCGTAAAGGAAATTATGAATTACTCTACTGTACGGGTCTGATGACTGGAGCTGTTTGACAGATACCTTTTCTACTTTGCTTTGATTTCTACTTTTTACGATCTTGGGTTGCCACTACTCTGGGTAATCTGTTATTTCTACTAAAAAAAGTAAAAGCATAATCTGTGGTGTTATTGATAATGGGTCTTTTTTGTAATTTTACTCGACTCCCAAGGCTTTAGTCTTTAATTATACATTATTTTAAGGAATTATTCTTTACGAGTCGATTCTATGTAATGAATATTATTTAAGGATTGAATTTAATATATGGGGCTTGTTCCTTACTCGGGTATTTAATACGATTTACTTCAATCGTAAGCATATAACTGAGCAAGAGTAAATTGTGTTTGTTAAATTTATTGACCTACTAAAAAAAATTGGAGATCGATGTGTATGTATTTTCCTCTATTCCTGGAACGACACAATCCGATTTATGTCAATAAAACGGCATTCCCGTCAGACCAAATAAACTTGAAATGTTGGTGGTCCAATAAAATACTTATTATTATTAACATTTAATTTCTTAAATTTACACACGTACATTTGCAGTTGGGCATTCGCCAAGCGTTCGAGGACACGGCGTCCTTCCCTGGCATCTCTCGGGGTCATCAGTTACCGCATCGGCTGAAGGTATCTAAGGTGCTGCAGCAGAATGGCATTGTCGTGAACGAGCTGGGCAGCACAGTGTACTCGGCGACAGGTTTGTCATCATATCATAATATTTCTATTCTTTGTTTCTATTCATCATCATCTTTTCAGCCTGTTTGAGTCCACTGCTGAACCGTTCAGGCCTACGCCTCTCCCTAATTATATTCCGTTCGCAGATCACAATTACAAAGCTAATTACTACATTATGATATGATACAGATGACTCGATGGCGTATGATTTGAGTTGAATGTAATAAACATTTCGCGGAAATATTTGGAAATAAGCTGTTTTAAAGACTTTTAATAAAGATATACGTATGTGTATTCTGCGTGTCGTTTACAAATTGTTTCGATTGACATTATGTGACAGATGATATCGGAAAGATAAAGCGGGCTATAGAATTGCAATCTAATTTCACCAGTTGGCGTAATTTGAGTGCGTCAATTTCGTTACGTTACTGTCATATCTACCTTGTATTTGTATATAATAATATAATTGGTTGTCCATCACAAATAAAATTCACTCAAAAACTGTTTCAATTACTCCGCAGAAATATCTCTAGAGAACAAATTCGGCGAGGAAGACTCGTTCTACGAAGTGGTCGCGAACAAGCCGTTCCTGTTCTTCATCCAAGACGAGGCCACCAGACAGCTGCTGTTCACCGGCCGCGTGTCGGACCCAAGTCTCGTTGATGGCGCCTTCAAGATGCAATAGGCGAATGTCGACATCAACTCGACATCTTATAAAATCGATTAATAAACGTTAAAAATATGATCTACCGTGTCAAATTCGAATGTTTCGTTTTACCTTGAAGTTTTTCTTAACCATGCCTCACATTTTGACAGCTCAGCGAAAACAATCTGTTGTCCATCTTTTTAAATATGTCAAAACGACTAGAGATGCCTAATATGGCTTTCATATGAGTAAAAAGTTAAAGAGTAGAAAATCATGTATTAATCACGATGACTGCGAAAACATTTTCACAGTCACCACGATTATTACACAAATTATTTTAATAGCCGAATGTCGACATCAACTCGACATCTTATAAAATCGATTAATTAACGTTAAAAACATGATCTACCGTGTCAAATTCGAATGTATCGAGATTTTACAGTTTTTTTTTTACCATGCCTCACATTCTGACAGTTCGGCGAAAACAATCTGTTGTCTAACTTTGTAAATATGTCAAAACGACTAGAGATCCCTAATATGACTTTCGTATGAGTAATAATTTTGAACAAAAAAAAACCGACTTCAAACAGGAAACTAAAAGCATTTTCAACATAACCTATTACATTTGAGGATTGCCCTTGATTACTCTAGTTTGCCATCATCAGATCTGGGTTTCCTTATCATGGTACCTACCACCCTTGGGACATCTCCTTTCTAACAAAAAAAGAATCATCAATATCTGTTTATAAATGACGAAGTTATCCCCGAACATACTTAAAAAAAAATAAAAATATATACGGTCGAATTGAGAAACCTCCTCCTTTTTTGAAATCGGTTAGAAAGTGAAGAGTAGAAAATCATGTATTAATAAAGATTACTGCGAAAACATTTTCACAGTCATAGCGATTATTACAAAAATTATTGTAATAGTTTTGTTACAATAAATAATCAGGTACAATGTAATAAAAAGTAAAGTAAAGTATCAGCGTATACATATCCCACAGCTGGGCAAAGGCCTCCTCTGTACAGAGGGTATCAGGGCATAGTCCACCACGCGGCCCCACTGCGGATTGGCGGACTTCACATATATTCGAAATATTTTTTGTTACTATTTCGAAAATATGCAGGATTACTCACGATGTCTTTTTTCAACGCTGAGCACGTGCAATTCGGCACTTAAAATTAGCATTTCATTGGTGCCGGCACCGGGGATCGAACTCGGGTTGCTCGAGTATATTAAAGGCGAGCGCCCGGACACTGAGCTATCACAGCTATACAATGTAATAACCAATAAATAATGTAATACCGTTGTTGCCAAAGTTATCACGAATGGTTTTTTGTATTTAGTAACTGCGAATGGGAATGTTACTTTTATATAACTACATGACGGTCAAAATTAATAAAATGTGACAATCGAAACAGTTCGCATGAAAGTAACTATACTAAAATTGATGGTTTACTGGTATACAGATATTTTTTTCCTTTTTTTTTAAATTATCCTGGCTTTCACTAGCCTTTACAATTTTCGAAACAGACAAATAATCTTTAAAATTTAAATGGTAATGAACTTTTCTTAACCATGAATAGTTTAGAATTTTATAAAATTATAATAATATGGTAGTGAGGCATATTTATAATGATATGATGTGAATCTTTTGAATATGTTTTATTTGAGATTACAATCGTGATGTACCCTATTTGAGGTGCCAAGGGCTCATGCAAAATCCGTGAAGTAGAAGTGTGTTTTTGCATTTCGCTTCTGGAGTGATGAGGATTCGGTGACGCAGTTTCGATGTTACTAAATGTTACGATTCTTCGGCGTCGGGAGTCGAGGGTTAAATTCCCACGTAGTACAAGTATTTGTGTGACCCACGCGAAATTGTTCTGGACCTGGGTGTTTGATACCAAGCAAAAATCATGATTCAACCAAAAACATTATTCATATGTTGTGCCCACCCCACCATCGGATAAGGTAAGGAAGACGATTATGATATTGAGTGAGGTAATAGTCTGTTCTTTTAAACGTTGACAACGCATTTGAAACATAACGGTTGTGCCACTAAGCTGGGCCGTCATCACCTTACATACGGTATCCAACCGGCCTGTTCGATTCCACCTTCTCACTTGTCATTAGTCTTTTGTTTCGATTTATTGCATTACATTTCGTATCGGTTGTGAGGGTAATTGTGGTCCATAATTATTTTAGTACTTGTTACGTTTAAAAAATGAACATAAAGTAATAATTCAAAGTGTTAGTTTAGTTATGAGAAATTATATTAAAAATTGGATAAAAGATAAGTGCATATGCTGCGGTTGGTTTTCTTGGGGATTAACGAAGTGGAAGAGTCGATTGTATATATACTTCATATTTGTCAGTGTCTGTTTTGCGGATTTGTCAGATAGATTAATTTATCTCATTTGAAGTAAAAGGCACGTTGCCATTTCAGTGACGGTGGTAGGGCCACGCAGCAGCCTCGGCTGTTGCACGAATGGGCAGACTCGTCCGGGTAAGTACCACGACTTCACAGAAAGCCGGCGTAAAGTGGAAGTATTGCAAAAAGTTGTCAACGCACCTGGAACGCTCGGGTGTAGCAGATGTCCATGGGTGGCGGTATTCACTTAACATTAGGTGAACCGTCTGCTCGCTTGGCAACTTTTCTCATAAAAAAAAGGAAAAAGAACGAGCTTCGTAATTTAAACATAGCTAATTCACAGATTCAAATTCCATTAGTTCGCAGTACTGCGGTTTTACCTTTAACATAAATACGAAATGCGAAGTTTATTGAAAAGTTTTAATCGTCATTTCAATTTAAAGCTTAATTTCATTTTTCTGTTACAAAAATATTAGTGTTTGAAAGTAGTCTATACTAGCTTGGACTGCAGACCGGTTTTATATAGATATTATAGCAATAAATTCAACATTTGTTATAAGTTATAGTTATTATTCACACTATGTAGTACTAAATATGAACGGCGGTAGGGATGTGCTGCTTCGCTGCTGTTCAAAAGTATTAGTAGTGCTATATAGCAGTTTCTCCAAATAATAGCAGGTTTCGTTGCCTAGTTTTAAGATCATTCTCGCTTAAAATGACCATGCCATTGGCCACGTGCAGATGTATAATATATAACAGGAGATATTATATTTTATCTGTGTATCCCATTCATCCGACGTTTACATTTATTTTTCACACTAGGATAGAAACTAAATGATCCTCTCAAATGAAATTTCGCAAGATGAGACTGTAAAAGTCACTTTAGTTTGCTAAGATTGCGGAGTTTGACTTTATTAATACTTTTTTACAAAACATTATGCTTAATAATATTTTTTTAATAAAACAGGAAAAAAGACCATTTGCACCATTTAAATTTTGAAAAAAAGAGGTGCAATACAGTAAATAGAACGCCGTAGATGTTCAAATCAAAATATAGCAAATAATTTAGTAGATATATGCAGAAGTACAAAATTATATAATATAATAAAGAAACGTTTAATAAGTATACTAATATGCATATATCATATCATATATTTTCATGCACGACTTAATTAACCTAAAAGAGAATATGCAACCGAAATATGCTGTCTTCGATTAAAATTTCCTTTTAACACGTTATTTCAAGGTACGTAGCTGTTTTTAAACAACAACTCAGCGTCGCCACTCGCCTGGCAAACTTATTTGTAAACGTTTCGTTCTCAACCATTCGTAAACAAGAGGTACGGCAACGCGATCGTCTATTTCATTAAGTTTTGATGTTTTTATTGCTGCGTGAATTTTAATGTTTGAAAAATAGACCTCTCCTTATCTAGTCGAGATGTGCTTAATATTTCTTACAGGTGAGTAAAATATTGTTTTTAATTTGAATATACATACGTTGCACTTAAACGACTTTTACATGTTATACTTTTCCTTGGGTTTTATCTCAATTAAGGAAACTCATTGCAGCTTCCTCTATGATTTTATTTACGTCGGTTTTGTAAGTATTGTTTTGTTTAAGACGGCGTGCGGCGTCGTGACGAGAACTAATAATTATGGTTACGTTTTAATTTAAGACTAAAAATTTTCTGGCACTTATGTGCCCATGAAGCTTTTTGTTTTTCTCCGTCAAAATTAATAAACTGTTTAGTCAAAAATTTTCGTATTTTGTCAGATTACGTAAATGGAGATAACTCGGCTTACCTATAAATTATTTATCAATATTACCTAAAGCCGGGCTTTACCCAAAGGTAAAATACGTAAAATATTCCGCGTAGCAATTTACTAAATGAAATGTTAATATATAACGGACATTTGGTAATGATACTCTTTTTTATTACCATAGGATATCATCATTTTTATTATCACGTACAGTATCCAGCTTTTCCCTCGTCTAAATCAAAATGTTTTCAACCGGTTCAAACGGACTCCTGGAAATCTGTGTTACCGTGGAAGAAACAATGTCCAAAGAGATATCGCGGTGATGTGAAGAAACATTGGTCCGCGAAATAGGAATGTTATATATTATATATACTACAAAAGTTAATTGATTAGGGGGTGTATCATTAAGTAAGGGGACCGAATATAATAGAAGAAGAATATAATAGAGGTAATGTTACAAATAAAAAAGATACGAAATGTTTTTTATCCGTGAAATAATTTGAAGAATCTTTCCTTTCGTTTTAAAGATCATCCATTAGAACATATTCAGACAAAGACTCGATCATTAATTAATTATATATGAAACAGCTTATGTTATCAATTACGGGATCAGGTAAGGTTTTCGTTGTGGTGCACACCAAGGATCTTTATCTCTTTCTCGTCCTACCCTCCGTTTAAAGGAGTTGAAATTGTATATAGTGATCATGTTAAATAATTTTATTACAGTTTTATTCTTCACTTACTTCCGAAGTCTGGATTGTCTTACCGATCAGAAGTTGGTTATATCCCGTTTCAACTTCTTCGACACCGATCTCCTTCGATACTCCGCCGAGGAGCGCAAAGGGAATGTAGTCGTGTCGCCACCCAGTGTCAAGTCAACGCTGGCGATGCTGCTAGAAGGAGCCAATGGTGCCACCGCGACGGAAATAAGAAACGCCTTAAGGTTGTCGCCCGATAAAGAGGAGTTTAGGGAGCAGTTGAACGAATATCTGACTATGTTACGGGTAAGGCAAATTTTTCGACGTTCCAACAATCTAACGAAAGGGACATAGACTAGCTAATTCTCAATCTTTTTTTTTTTTTTTTATTAAACTTTTTATTTATTAAAAAAACTTTGCTCTTACTGTAGGATCCTGACTAATCCTACGCTGTAAGAGCGTTATACAAACATAATTTTCACGTGGATATACGGCCAGATGCGTAACAATCATCTGTAGGTTATACAAATACTTGCCCCGTGTGGGAATCGAACCCACGACTTCCGGCGCCGAAGCCAATACTTTGACAACTGCACGACGGAATCTTCAAAAATTCTTACAGTATTCTTATCTAGCATATCTGGCATATACGTATTGCAACTTGTTGAAATTGTTTTCGTATATAGAATATGTCTTTTAATTTCTGATAGGACTATATTTTCTCTGTGTACTATAGTTACTTGTAGGTTTGTAAACATGTTTTGTATTAAATATTGATTGTGTGCCCGTTTGGCTGGGATATTAAAAACCGTCGGCGGAGAACTTATTATTAATAAAGTTTATTATTATAATGTAAAAATGTATGAACCTGGTTTGCACATCATCGAAAATTAAAAATAACGTGGTTTTTTCGTAGCTGTACTATTTCTAATATTCTCTCTTCTATACTAATGACAGTAACTTGGCTGAAAAAAATTACATTGCAATTACTACTTTAACCAATTAGCATTTCATGTACCTATCATTGGGTTCTGTTTTCTGGAAAGTTTCTTATTGGGATCTAATTTCTCTATTTGATAATTTTGCCTATAGAGTTGATCACTGATGGATTAATTGAGAAAGTCAAAAGCGTCAGTAAGTCAGTTGGGCTCTCCTTGTTCGTTTGACTTCAGTGCGTTTGTTTTATATATGATTTTCATATAGGTAAACGACCCTGGAGCGACATTACTAAACTCCAACGCAATGTTCATCGCAACGAATGTCAGCGTGCGAAAGGACTTCGTAATAATGCTGCACAAAGTTTATCTGTCAGAGATTCATGTTGTTGACTTCAAACAACCGGTGTCTGCCGCTAATAAGATAAATTCCTGGGTCAGCAATAATACGAAAGGTCTTATCCCGACTTTGGTGTTGCCTGGTGAGTGGTTAAATCATTTATTGAAGACAACATTCCTTTATAATGTTGTATCTAAAATTAGAAGATGCTATTTGTTTCCTTACATAGACTGTTATCTTACTTGAATAAAATACAGTAAGATCATCTTAATTTATACATTTTTTCAATAAATATATTAAGCATTACCTTTCGGAAAACTCGACTTCAATTCTGATCCAAGATTTGTCTGATGGGGATGTGCCATGTTGTTTATATTTTCATAATCACTAAAGTTAACCCAGTAAACATATTCATCAGTCATAACATAAATATGGAAGAAGATAGAAGACCCTTTTCGTGGGACATGTAACGTATAGGTGAAGTACATTCTGTCATACTAAAAGAAAACATCCTGTATATTTCAGAGCACATCGATCCCTTATCCGAATTGCTGCTCGCCAACACCCTTTACTTCAAGAGCAAGTGGCAGCACGCCTTCGACCCTCAGAACACGGCTGGCTCGTGCTTCCGCAACCGTGGTGAATGTCACATGGTCTCCATGATGGAGCTGCACGCTGAACTCAACTACGCGTACATCGACAGCTTGAGGGCACACGCGATCGAGCTACCTTACGAGGTGAGGTTTTTTTTTCTTATTTTATTTAGAACCGGCCAGAACTTGACTGCCATCCCACCTGATGGTAAGTGGCGATGCGGCCTTTGATGGTAACCGCGTTAGCTCAGTAAAAACCTTTTTGAAGTTATACTTCTTTTGGCGCGTTTGGAAAAAAATATGACGGTAAAATTGTTACGATGCACGCGCACACCGACCCTCAAAGAGCGACATGATGCAGTTGAACCAACTTCACTGTATTACCCACTGGTATTACCATGCTAGCAAAAACAACTTTTTGACATTTACCAATAATTCCAAGTTATTTAAATAAACCGTTATCAATTGCATTTAACATCTTTCCGCTAAAGAAGAATAACTTGCTTACGTGTAAATAAGTACATATACACACTTTTTTTCTTCTTTCACCATTTGTCACGACACAAATAGATCGGCTCCTCTGGGAAAGTATCACGGCCTCACAGATCACCAGCATACGCTGAGAAGCATCAATGTTATTGCAATACTGACTAGTTCATTTCATTGAAGAAAACTATACCTATTCTCTATTTTTCTACTACTTCATAATTTAGTACTAGTAGAAACTCGGTTCTCAATAACAAGAGGTCTCCACGTCTTAACACTGTGATTATTTTTCCTAAGATCTTATCATATCCACCTAAAGAAAATAATTGCTGTTTCTTTTTGCGTAACTCTAATTTATAATAATACGCAGCGATTCGTGGTAAAGAAGGAATGAATGCTGAGTATAATAAGACAGACGACGTCATATGTCTTCCCATATTGAAGCTTACTTTACTACAACAAAAGTTACATTTATGTTATAGAAATCACTTGCCAGCATTGGGCGATGGAAGTACTCAAGATAGGAAAAATAAAAATATGTAAATGTTATGTAGGGAAAGGGGATTTTAACCAGATTATACTCAATATCTTTAAAAAAATTGTATCTGCTTATACGCAGTATAAGTATTTTCAAGGTCTTCCTGTTGCAAATCGCTGGGGATAACCCAGACCAATAAAGAAACCCAGAGCAGCACGATGAAAATCACCGATGACGCATGTTTTCGAAGCAAAGGTTTTAGCTGTAAGGTTCTGGCTGTGAAGAGACATCTGCCTGTGACGAAAAATAAATGCGGCGATTGTATTAGTCAGTATTTAATCGTTAACATTTTTGCTCATTTGGCCTTCAACCGCTTCAAACAGATTATTCGCTGGTGCCGTTCTTTTTTAGGGTTCCGTAACCAAAGGGTAACGGGACCCTAACCTTATTACTAAGGTTCCGCTATCTGTCTGTCTGTCTGTCGATCCGTCTGGTGACAACCAGGCTGTATCTCATGAACCATCGTAGTAAGACAGTTGACGGTGGTAGGGCCACGCAACAGCCTCGGCTGTTGCACGAACGAGCAGGCCCGTCCGGGTAAGTATCGCGACCTCACAGAAGACCAGCGTAAAGTGGAAGTATGACAAATACTTTTGCGTTTCGTCTGGTGAGTGAGGTAGTCGGAGCCCAATTTTCAAAAGGTTGTCAACGCAACTGTAACCCTCGGGTGTAACAGATGTCCATGGGCGGCGGTATTCACTTAACATCAGGTGACCCGTGTTCGTTTGGCAACTTTTCGCATAAAGAAAAAAAAAGTTGAAAATTTCACAGACGATGTATTTCTGTTGCCGCTATAACGAATACTAAAAAAAAAAACAGGATAAAAATATTTAAGTGGGGCTCTCATACAACAGACTTGATTTTTTTTTTTTGCCGTTTTTATAGATACGGAACCCTTCGTGCGCGTACCCGACTCTCACTTGGACGGTTTTTTTAAATAAATCATTAAAATTTCAATTAAATTGCACACTGGTGGCAGACGCTATAGGCTTCAACGACTCCATCAAAAATACCATAGATAAGATAAATGAATTTAAAAAGATTAAAGTAATGAATAACTGGTTGGAATTGAATGAGTGATTTGCTTACAAACAAAAGTTACAAAGACTGTCCGCAGATTACATTAATAGCGATTTTAACGTTGGACTACTTTTTGCTTCATCGTAACCCGTCGACCGGTTTTTAGGTAAAAATGTTTATAATAATATTATGTATAGAAGCAAAACCGGTTTTAGTTTAATTAATCGCTCATGATTCTTTAAATATAGACGAAATGTCCGACCGAAACTATTATTACCTGTTCCATCCTTTATGGTGTATCAATTTAATATTTGAATATTCTTTTACATTGAAAACTTTATTAGGTTTCTCTGTTGGTGAAGGTTTTCTATTATATTTGTTGGATGTTAGCATTTTTTTTTTCGTAAAAGCTAACATTTGTACCATGCGCGATTGTGTATTGAAAAGATAATAACTAAGAATTAACACGTTTTTGGACTTCTTGGGTAGAATAATGTAGCAGTCACAGCTTCAAAACCCCCGTCACTCGAAAACTCGGTCTTTCAATCTGAATACTGTTAAATGACATATATAAGACATTTAGATGAACAGATCCTTTTATCGCTATATATACTAGCGATAAAAGGATCTGTTCATGTAGGAACTAGTCACACTTGTTCTCTTGCAGTTATTGTGGAATACCGGTTATAAATAAGATTACTTATTTATTTATTCCGGGCCTACCATATCTTGAATGTATCTGGGGCAAGTACATATTATTGTTTTTATCAGGAAGCAAATTACAGACTTCACTTATAGAAATGCCTAGCCTGTTAATTAGCCTGTGTGTAAATTTAGCCTGTTTTATTATATGAGCAAATAAAATATACGTAGACATAAAAATATAATTAATTAAAGAAGAAGCATGTATTCTCTTTTTGTATCCCAACAGAAGATTTAAAAAAATTCGTTGCTTAAGTGACACCCGTTAAATATACATCCAAATCGAGAAGATGTTTTGACTTCTCTAAAATCATATGAGTCTTCCTTTAATTAATCTCAATGTCTTGGTGTTCGATTTTATTCACTACATTCGAGCAAACGGATTTAATCACATTGATGAAGGAAATTGTTTGGAGGAAATCTTTATATCTTCGAAATAAGAACAAATGTTTCGAGGATATGTTAAGTTTTACATGATTTAATAATCTTGTTCAGGGGAGACCAATAGATGATATATAATTCTATTCATATATTGAACTTTCTTCTTGTATTTGACATAATGGTTTTTGTTTGATTGTTCATGCACGGAAATGTGAGATATGATTATATTTGCGCAAGCCAAATATGAATGTTATGCAAAAATTTTGAATACGCTCTAGCTTATCAAGCAGCTCCTCGGTGAGATCTAGATAGCTGACATCTGCATAGTCGAGTATTGGAAGAAGTAGATTTTGTGCAAGAGCAATTTTAGTAGCAGTCGGTAGGAAGTTGCGTAATCTTCTTAAGGATGCTGCTGAAGCGAATATCTTGCGAGTTATTTCTTGTAAATGAGGGCCCCACGAATGATTTCTATCAAAGTAAATTCCTAAGTTTCGTAGAAATATTCGTTAAGTATGAAATTTGTAAAATATTTTTCATAAGTTACGAAAAATATAATTCATTTATTTATTTATTTGTCAGAATAAGGTTATACATAATGGTCTTAAGTCTAAAACAGAAGTTCACTTATTCTGCCTCTTTTATAGGCGTACAAATATTAAATCGTTTTAATTTAATTTCGACATAAAGTTTTAATACAAAACTATAAAACATAATTATGGATAAATGTTATACAAATTGTCATAAATATGTCAAAGACAAAATCAATAATAATACATGTCATCGTCAAATTTCTATATATGTCACCTATATTTACCATTATAATTATATTAATTAAATAATAATTTTACAAACAAAATTAGTTATTGAAATATTCAGAAAGACTATAAAAACACTTGCTGAGAATATTCTATCAACTTTCGTTTAAACGTTTGACTCGTTTCATTCTTTATTGTGTTTGGCAGACGATTGTATACACGGATTGCCATGTAGAAAGCATTCCTGTTAAAGAATGAGGTGCCTGATTTAGGCAAGAATAATTTATTTTTGTTTCTAGTATTCCTCTGTGTTACATCAGACTGTTGTATAAACAAATTAAAATTTTGTCTTACAAACAAACAGATATCCCTCACATACATTCACGGTAAGGGAAGAATGTGTGGTCTACAACTCTCATAGTACCCCAAATTGCATACAACGCGAATATATTTTTATTGCAAACAAATTACAAATGCTTTCTGGCTATCGGTAGAGTTAACAATAATCCGTAGCTTAGAACTGAGGAAACATAACCATGATATGCACATAGAGCTGCCTCTCGCAACACTGTTCTCCGTATTCGTCTTAGAGCATAAACAAATTGGTCTAATTTCTTACAAATTTTAAAAATGTGCTCCTTACAATTGCATTGTTCATCAAGTGAAAATACTGCAGACTGCACCTTTTCTATCGATTTATTATCAAATTTAATGTTAATGTCTATTTTTTTTTATTTGTATGTCGTAAATTGTATTATTTTGGTTTTGTCAAAATTAATATAAAGGTTATTTAATTCAATTAAACAATTTAACAACGTCACGAATAGGGTCATTGATTTGATTACTATGTCATTAGCCTTATTATTATTAGGGTTGTGTCATTGGCGAAAAGAAAGCATTTTTCTTTCGTAGCTTGAGGTAGGTCATTGATATAAATTAAAAATAAAAGGGCCTAAAATACTACATTGTGGAACACCATATTTAATAATTTTATAATCTGATCTATATGATGATTTTTGTATTTGTTTGTTTTTAGGCACCATCTTACAGATTTCAGTGCATTCTGTCCTTCAAATAACTACCTATCTAATGATTTGCTTCACCACGAATACCATATTTTTCTAATTTTTGAAGCAAAATATCATGTTCTATGTGGTCAAAGGCCTGAGTCATGTCTAATAGTACTGCTACTACTAATGTTTAAAAACAGGCGCATATGATAGATATAACGAAAACCGAACTATGTAAAAAGGCAGATGGTATTTTACACCTCTGTACGAGGTTTTCAGTAAATTAATAGTTATAAAGATAAATTTCGTGATAATGGTATAAAATTTTTAACTCACTAATCCAATCAGCCTTTTGCAGTCCACTGCTGGACATAGGCCTCCCCAAGAATATGCCACAGAGTACGATTTTCCGCTTTCCTCATCCAGCCACTAATATAATGTTAATATATTTATTAAAAAGTAAATATACAACTATATCTTACCTGGACATTCAGTATCATTATTTTGGTTACGAGGCTCGTCTTCGATGCTTACATCAGTGCTGTTGTGTTTATTTATGATTTTATTTATTATTTTTTAGGCTCTTGTATTAAATTGCACACCTTTTTTGATATCTTTTTCGTTTAAACCAGCTAAGTTATATATTAATTTTCGATGCAAAGGCTATTATAAAAGACAATCGCCAAAAACAGAGTAAAACGACCGAATCGATACCTCCGCCCCTTCGCCACCTCTCCGACGCGATTACTCTACGCTGTACATGGACCGATCGTTCCTTGGGGCTTTACACGCGGCTAATTTGTGCACATTCGCCTATTTGCCTAAAATTTAATTTTGGTTTTGACAAGAAATTTTTTTTTTGTATTTTATTTTCATAGAATAGGGCAAAATAAACTTACTGCGGTAATAATTGGAAAAAGGCGTAAGCGGCAGTTTTGCCCTTTTACGTAGGAGCCATCGATTTGCACAAAATCCTTTTTTGCACTTGAAGTCTTTGGTGGAAGATTCCTTTGAAATAAATTATTGTTTGAATTTGATCTTCGAGTTTTCTAAATTAAATAGAAGTAAATTTTATTATGCATTTGGCGATTATAAAAAAAAAAAAAAACAGCACGAGCTATGAAATAGAATTAATTAGTTTCAGAAGGTTTTATGCGAAACTCAAATACCTAAATTCTTTTCCTTAAAACTCATCTTGTTTGTGTGAATGAAATTTTTACATTAATGAGAAATTTAAATATTATGGAGCGTTACAGACTGTACTAAATCAAATTATGTTTACTTTCACATCTTTGTTAGATTAAGTTCGATGACAAAGGATGATTGGACACTTGCCATTTTAACTGTTGCATTTTTAACCTCTTCATATGACACCTTTTAAAATGTTGGTTTAAGCCATTATTACCTACGAAAAACTTTAAGGATTCGACTTTGTGTTATCCATCTGTACGCCGCGCGCCGGTTAAACACGTTAGTATTAAGTAATACAGTACGTAATGTTTGTGTTTCGCTTACCTTCAGGGTGGCCGCTATTCGATGTTCCTGCTAGTTCCTCAAGACCAAGACGGAGTTCTCTCTCTGATTAGGGACCTGCCCTATATGAGCCTGCCGCAGATTGAAAGCCACATGGACCAGAATGAGGTCCGTCTCTTCTTGCCTAAATTCAACATCGATTACGATGAGGATATGGCTGCAACACTACGAGCCGTAAGTGTACTCTTTTTTTATGTTGCGGTGATTTAAGCCTTCAATTTACTCTACTGGCTACAACAAACAAGCCGAAATCGTGAAACTATAAAAATTGCGTATTAACTATTTATTTATTTAATCTTTATTGCACTGAAAATTGGGTGTAAAGGCGAGCTTAATGCTATATATAAGCTATTATTTCCATTTAATTACTAATTTATTTTTTATTAATTCTTTACTAATTTATTTCCACGTAAAATTTTGTTCAATTTATAGCAATCATTTAAAATGCGTCTGTTTGGTAGGTTTTTATTTTAAACATTTTTTTGTTAAATTTAGTTTTATGTTGTGTGTCCTTTTTTTGGTAAATAAATTTATTATCTTTCCGTACCATTTCAGATGAAAATTACATCTTTGTTCTCCCGGAGTGCTGACCTTACAGGGATGTTTAATGGCACCTCACCTCAAGTTACCAACATATTCCATAAAGTTCGTATGTCCGTTGACGAGTCCGGAACAATCGCTGCAGCAGCCTCCTCCGCCATGGTCATACCGCTCATTGAGAATGAAGTTCAAATCCGCGTCGACCGCCCATTTGTTTTTTTCATAAGGGACAACAAAATGGGATTGGTGCTGTTCGAGGGAAAAATCGAGAAGCCCACGCCCTACGTTATGCCAGTTGCACCAAAAGCACCAGAACCCAAGACAGCTAGTCCGAACGGTGGGTAGATTTTTAATATTGAAAACATTTTTATCACACTTGTTGACATCGATTTCTAAAGGACCATTTTCATATCATGTAAGTCATTTTAAAAAATGTTTATTTATTCTCTGTGGGTTACAGTGTAGCATTTTATTGATTTCAACAATTTAATCTATATTCGTTGTTCAACGTGGATAGTATAAGCCCCAGCTCTGTGTAACCCGTTCGAGTCAAAAGTCGAAGAGTTTTTTCGACTTTTGACTTCTTCGATTTAACTTCGGGGTAGTAAGTGACAGGTGACATTATGATTTTTGGGCTAATATTCCGAATAGTACGTCTCGTTTTTCAAGCTAGAAAAAAATTTTAATCGATAGAGAATTTTTAATTTTAATTTAATATATAATTAATAATTAAATATTATATAAGTTATAATGAATGAAAACCACTAGATTATGAGGAAAAAATTAACAAAGTTTTTAAATTTCATACAACTGAAATCCGTCATTACTGTGCGTCCATTATTCATTATAGACTATTATTTTAAGTTAAAAACTTGTTTTCACTTTTTACGTTTTAAGAAGACACAAATACACGGATATATCACAAAAACACAAGTTTCTACTTCATGAACATGTATTATTAACAAATTCTAATATTTAAAATTTGTGACTTAGGGTACACTTAATGTCTCGAATATTAGGTTCAAAATGAGTCACAGATCCGACACAGAGCGATCCGACTCGGCTAGGGTAGGTTAGAAGGTTAAGCCTTAGCCTTCGATGTTAGGTTTTTTTTTATGACCACCCAAAAAACTTTAGTGTAACAGTACTTTTAGTATTTTTAAAGACTCTTTTTTAATAATGCGAAGGTTATAACTTGAAAAAGTGTGTGTATTCTTAAATTTATACATGTTGTCAAACACAAAATGGCGGATTTATTTAGTGAAAATAACAAGTTTTAAATATTTTTTTTTATTAAAAGTAAGTGTTTTCCTTGGTTTTCACGTATGTAATATTTAATTATTAACATTTCTCTATCGATTAAATTTTTTTTCTAGCTTGATAAACGAGACGTACTATTCGGAATATTAGCCCAAAAATCATAATGTCACCTGTCACTTACTAACCGAAGTTAAATCGAAGAAGTCAAAAGTCGAAAAAATTCTTCGACTTTTGACTCGAACGGGTAACACAGTTTTTCTAGCTTGAAAAACGAGACGTACTGTTCGGAATTTTTACCGATTTTTGTAACAAAATAAAAAATATGTGTTTTACTGATTGTAAAAACATTTTTGATTAGAATTTACGTTTTGCGCGTGTATACAAGAAAATATTATCTTGAGTTTTTCGTGATATATTATTAACATGTTCTAACAGCAAGCAGTAACGTTCAGTACCTAACCGTTAGCGTAGGATTGAATACTTGCAATTTCTATCTTGGTTATTGAACCACATTAAGAAAAGGAAGATAATATCATCCACTTCCAACTTAGAGAAAGAAAATATTAGCAAAACTTGACAATGTTTGGCCGCAAGTCCAAACGGACTCACATTCCATTTACTGTTTTCCTTTTACATACGGACTTTGAATATTATTTTCGGACTTTACCTGATTCGAAATTGGGAATTTCCAAATGTAAAAAAGTGAACTTCTTCTCCTTGGGGGCGCCCTTTCCTATCGGATTTCGGCGACCACCACACGGAACTCTTCTCTATTCTGCGCCAATCTAAAAGGACTGACGGCGTCCTTGATGTCAGACCATTTTTTCGAATTGTCACTAAAGTTTTATTTCAAAAAAAGTGAACAGGTATTAGTATATTAATGAGTAATATTTTTGTTCCAGTGCCACCATCATTCAGGAGCAGTTCGTTTAAACCGTACAAACTAAGATTATATGGTTAATTGTTGCTTTTTTAGTAACAATCCATAACGCAGTGATAGTTTTTTGTTGCCTTTAACAAATAAATCATAAAGACACTACATCTACTTATTCCTTGTGTCCAATTTTCTCCCAGATATGGGAAATGCAACTACTTAATGCTGACGAGATGTATTACAATTAAATGAAAAAATCTATTACACAGAAAATCAGCTTTAATTTGCCTGAGCCCCGGAATTTAAGAATGGGCTTAAAGCGATGACATCTTACCTAGTGTTTTAATAGATGGTTGAAGAGGAAACAACAATAGATATGTTGAAAGTGTGTTGCCAACCTTAGATACCGTAGCATTTAGGCATTTCACTTATGGCCGGTTTCATTATCTATCTATAGATAGATTTGGTTATTGGAGACAGAATTTTGATGTAAGTATTATGGAGCTCATGTAAAATACTTTCGCTAGTAAGCAAATCTATCCGTTGATTGAATATTGAATTAGAGTACGAAACGCAAAATGATAGATACTTTTAATTTACATGGTTCTTGTGAGAACCAAGTTATGAGAGCTATTTTCTCTCCACCACATTCATTTTACTAGAGCTTAGTGTGCTGTAAGAATAGAACAATTTAATAATAATAGAATACGATACAAAATTATGAAAAAGCCGCAACCTGAAAATCAAAACCTATTATTTTATTATTCCTGTTGAAATTCGAAAGCCGCCTTTGTTCTTCACCTATCCTTTTTTCTGGTCTAGTCTTCTGTTGAAATTCCTTTCCGGAAAGGAATTTGCACAAAGACCAGCCGATGCAGAACAAATCCTATTTTTAGTCTTGTTGTATTTCTTAAGTTGCCGTATTTTATGCGTCATCTATATTTTGGACAATTCACACAATATCTTTATAAATTATAGTGTACTAGCTGCTGTCCGCGACTACGTCTGCGTAAAATAGACTGAAGGCGTAATATTCAGACATAAAGACACATATACATAAAATATGTATATAAATTATAGCCTGATTCATTCTGATGTATAAGCTATATTATTGTAAAGTTTCATTAAAATCCATTCATTTATTCAAGTAGTATTTGAGTGAAAGAGTAACAAACATCCATCCATCACACAAACTTTCAACACACAACACAACTTTTATAATATTAGTAAGATTCATAAGCGCCGTGTCCGTCAATATAGTTATCGATATGCGGGAACCAGTTGCGTGGAGACCGGCGTCCATTGTAATACAACGTTATTTCGTAGAAAAAAGTTGCAAGCAATTGTTCGTCCGTAGCATACAGAAATTCTCTCAACATTCAATTCACGAATACCGATCTCTGTCAGTTTTTAATGAACAAACAAATTTAAAACGTGCCATTTAATTTTGATATTTACCTAAATGTCTCAGCGCAGAATTTTGTCTCATTGTTAATTTAATAAGTAGGTAATAACTAATTAATAGCAGAAGGAAAAACATGTAGAAAATAAAAATGCTGCATTGATAATTGCAAACAAATGGATAATAATTTAACAGCAAGCTGTTTGGTCTAATGGCAGGAGCATAACTACGTTCTCAATATTTTCTATATTGAGAACATAGTACTTAATGAAATTAAGGGGAACTTAACTGATAATCATTGTTTAATTTTTCAACAAACAGAACGATTTCAAGCCAGTCGTATGTGAGTTTTAAATGGCTGGGAATTAAGACTTACTTTATAGATAGAAAAGTATTTTTGGTGTGCCCTGCATTTACAGGATTAAGTAACTAGAATAAAGTATACTTTTTAATACCAGAAAAAAGCAAGGTTCCTGTAGTGAACATCTCTTTATTAATTTGGTATAAAAGTGTTTTAGTTTTTTTTAAATGACATAGGATACTTTCTCACGAAACAATGGATGTATCTCATAGTAAAGAATGATGAAGATGAGTGTAATACTCTAAAAGGTTGTGCATACGAAAATTTAATTTTGGTGTGGACGTAGCGTAGGCAGGTCCGAACTAATATTTATAATTTTGATAAAGTATTTATTGTTTCGCCCTTCTATCAAACAGCAATGGAGAACCGGTTTACGTTTATTGGCATCGTTATACTTTTTGGTTTACAGAGTGAAGCGTCCTATTGGGGAAAACCCTGCTCTTATGTGGATCTCAAGGAAATAAAGAAAAAACATCGTGTTAATTTATGCTATAACAGCCATCGATACAAAAATAGTCGGTTGCGGTTTTACTAAAAATGGGAGGAGACCTTACCCAGATACATGAGCCTAATCGTCAAAGTTCGGAAAAAAAGCAATGAAAATTTTAAATATATTTTGTATTCAGGCTATAGCTCATATACATCACACAGACCTGTATAATATTACGTGATTTCTTTCGTTCAAAGTCAAGTCAAAGTCAAAGTATAATTATTCAATATAGGCTTTACTTAAGCTCTTATTGAACGTCAACAAAAAAAAACTACTACCGGTTCATTAATCTAGACCTGAACAGAGAAGAACCGGTTCTTTTCTGTTCAGGTCTCGACAAGAAACTCTGCGGCCTTGTTCTTTTTTTTGTGATGCAATTACACAAACTTATTTAGGTATAAAATCAGCAGCAGCCATGGTTCTTGCAAGTGCAGAGCAAGTCATTTCCATACATCCTTGTCCTCAATGTATTCTTGGACATTATAGTAGGCCCTTGCCTTTAGGGTAGCTTTTACAAATTGTTTGAAATTGTTTATACTAAGTTGTTTGTGGATGTCACCTATTTTATTATAAAAGTTGATGCATCTACCAAGAAACGACTTTTTGGTTTTAGCCAGTCTAAAGCCCCATTTACATGATGCAAGTTTCTTGTCTGTCGTATACAATTAAATTGAAGCAATAAATGCCTTTTTAGAAATTTAATTTTTTTATTGGGCTTATCGCTGCACTTAAGATTAAACATTCAAATTTGTAGAAAAAGTACGAAAAGATTGTCACTGCTGTGGGAATGGAACCCACGTCTTCGGCATTCGCGGCCTGACGCTTTAGCCACTAAGCCTTGCATCATCTAAACAACTCATAACATTCTTGACTATTGAACAAGTTTTGCTTCAAGTTTTGTTTCAGAAACTTATGTTGATGTAAACAGCATACACAATAATTTCTTAAGCAGTAGATTTCAATTGCATTCTCTTTTCGTTTGCAAACATGAGTACGATGAGTGAGGGTGTTTAATTGTTGTTACTTTTCTGAGGCAACAAATATTGAGAAAAAAGTCTTAAAAAAGTTGGATCAAAAAATTTATATATCTCAATGACATTTAATATTTGGCAGAATCTAACTTGAATACTTATTATTGACACATTTTTTTAATAAACAGCCCTTTTTAAAACATACAACACTTGAATGAAGATTCGCCAAGGCAAATACGTGCTAAAATTGAAGCACCCGCTAATAAATGGTACACGCATATACAAGCCTGAGTTTAGACAAGTCTAAACTTGAAAGCAATAATCTCCTAAATAAAATTTTATTGGTGTTAACAAAAGACATTTGCAATTATTTTTGTCAAGAAATGCATTTAGTAATCGCATACAATTTTTTTTAACTAATTGCTGCGTGTAAACAGTTGCTTACAATTCTTGATGGTCAATAATTGCGCTTCATTTATTGCATTCAATTATTGCTCTTGTATGTACAAGAAAATGGTATCATGCAAATAGGCCTTAAAGCCTGGTACTTCCAGAGTGTCACCACGGCCCCGACGCGATGTGGAATGTTTTTTTCATAAATAGGTGGATATTATTACGTACGATGTTCTCAAGTATGTAAAGCGACGGGAGCATTAAAACGTTTATTTGCTTAAATAAATGCCGTAGTGACTCACGAGTTCCAAGCCATAGACAGCCTTGTTTTGTAATACAAATATTGTATCTAAACCGGATGCAGAACCCGCAAAAAGTAAGACACCATAAGATATTCTGCTGCGAAAATAAGCATAATAAACTAATTTAGCTCTTTACTCGTTAGTTAGCTGCCTGATGCGTATGGTAAAGACTGTAGTGCTCAATTTCTTAGCTAACTTATCTAGATGAAATCCCCATTGCAACTTGGAGTCAACGCTTATTCCAAGAAATGCTGTTGAATCCTCAAGGGGTAAGTAAATCTAATACACTTTGTTTTAGTGGAGTTCAAAAGTAATTTATTGGTAGCAAACCAGCCTGACACATTTAGTATTTCATTTGGTTGTTTTAGTTCATCATCCTTCCTTTCAACTCTAAACAATAGTGAAGTGTCATCCGCAAACAAAACAATTCGAGACCTTTTTTCCACTCTATATGGCAAATCATTATTATTTTTTTTTTATGTGAAAAGTTGCCAAACGAGCAGACGGTTCACCTCGTGTTAAGTGAATACCGCCGCCCATGGTCTTCTGCTACACCCTAGGGGTCCAAATGTTGACAACCTTTTAATAATTGGGCTCCGGCCACCTCACTCACCAGACGAAACGCGAAAGTTTTATACTTCCACTTTACGGCGGTCTTCCGTGAGGTCGTGGTACTTACCCGAACGACCCTGCCCATTCGTGCAACAGCCGAGGCTGCTGCGTGGCTATACCACTCTATCATTAATATAAACTAAAATCAGAAAAGGCCCAGGATCAATCCTTGAGGAACGCCAATTTTTACTTTTGACTCCGTTGACAATATACCATTTATGATTACTTTTGGTTGCCTGTCAGTACTCTGAGTATGATGATACGTTGATATACCAATTCTACACTATTAGAGATCGGTACATAGTGGACTATATTTAGAAGTTTCAAAATGTTTAATCAAAATGTCTATTTATATCTATTACGTTCCACACGCTATTAGCGTCTCACTCAGTCTAATAAAAAAAAAAGAACAATAAAAAAGATTAGTTTTAATATTGTCCAATTGAAACTTACTAAATTACACGGTTAAAGTCATGAATAATATTTAAATCGGACGAACAGACAAATACTAATAAACATACTTAATAATGAATAGCACGACAAGTATTTAGAT